TCATAATATAGTATACAGTTTCAGAAGTGTTAGTAGTGTAGTAAATTTTGAATTGCCTCAAATATTAAGTAGGTATTCATATATATCATCTGATGATACTTTTTAAAATCTGGGGTTTTTTTTAGTGTTGTTACAATTGCGCAGAGTTCAAGTCTAAGTTAAATTGTTTAGTTGCTAAGTTGTATCCAATTCTTTGTGACCCCCATGGACTGCAGCCTCCAGGCTTCCCTGTCCTTCACCATCTCCTAGAGTTTGCTGAAACTCATGTTAATTGAGTCAGTGATGCCATCCAATCATCTCATCCTCTGTCCCTCCCTTCTCCTCCTGCCTTCAATCTTTCCTAGCATCAGGGTCTTTTCCAATGAGTCAGCTTTTCGTATCAGATGGCCAAAGTATTGGAGCTTCAGCATCAGTCCTTCCAATGAATATTCAGGGTTGCTTTCAAAACAGTGAATGTTAAGCATTTGAAAAATACCTTTAAACTACTTCAGCCACTTAAAATACATATGCATATGTATATATTATTTATTCTGTGGTATGGATATACTGCAGTTTGTTGAATCATCCATCCATGAAGGTTGTGTGCATTTTTTCGGTTTTTGTTACAAATAAAGCTGCTGTGAACATTTGTGTACAGGTTTCTGTGTGAGCGTAAGTTTTCATTTCTCTGGAATAAATGCCCACAAGTGCAGTTTCTGGATCTTATGGTAATTGCATATTTGTGTGCCTTAAAAAAAAAAATTTGTAGTTCTTTATGTATTCTTGACATTAATCCTTTTGTCACTTTTATGTGTTACAGAATCTGTTACCACTTTGTAAAGCATCTTTTTATTGTGTTGATGAATGAAAGTCCTTACTTTTAGTATCCTAAAATTAACAATCTTTCTTAGTCAGTGTTTTTTTTTTTAGTTTTACATAAATCTTTTTCTACTCATAGATCAAAAAGATATTCTCTACAATTTTTTAACTAATATTTTGATATTTTGTTTTTGAAATTTATTTTTAATCTATCTGAGACTCATTCTGTTTTATACCAAGGGACCTTACATGTATGGGAATGTTTTTGGCTTTTGTCTGTTGCATTGAGCAATATAACTGTTCTTGTACCAACACCACATTTACCACATTGTCCTAATTACTAGAACAGTTTAAGCCTTCGAATCTAGTAGGACAGATCTTTTCTTTCTGCTCTTCTTCAAAAGCATCCTGGCTATTGACTTTTTATTTTTCCATATACATTTTGGAGTCATCTTTTTAAAAACTTTACAAAGAACCAACATTTTCATTTTACAAAGAAAAGTGAAACATTTTTCAAATGTTGAACATTTGAAAAAGACCTTTTAAGCTACTACAATCACTTAAAATATCTCTATAGTACATATTAAAAGGAGTTTTTTTTTTTTTTTTTTACTAGTTGGAGGCTAATTACTTTACATCATTGCAGTGGTTTTTGTCATACATTGAAATGAATTAGCCATGGATTTACATGTATTCCCCATCCCGGTCCCCCCTCCCACCTCCCTCTCCACCCAATCCCTCTGGGTCTTCCCAGTGCACCAGGCCCGAGCACTTGTCTCATGCACCCAACCTGGGCTGGTGATCTGTTTCACCCTAGATAATATACATGTTTCGATGCTATTCTCTTGAAACATCCCACCCTCGCCTTCTCCCAGAGTCCACAAGTCTATTCTATACATCTGAGTCTCTTTTTCTGTTTTGCACATAGGGTTATCGTTACCATCTTTCTAAATTCCATATATATGTGTTAGTATACTGTAATGGTCTTTATCTTTCTGGCTTACTTTGCTCTGTATAATGGGCTCCAGTTTCATCCATCTCATTAGAACTGATTCAAATGAATTCTTTTTAATGGCTGAGTAATATTCTATGGTGTATATGTACCACAGCTTCCTCATCCATTCGTCTGCTGATGGGCATCTAGGTTGCTTCCATGTCCTGGCTATGATAAACAGTGCTGCGATGAACATTGGGGTGCACATGTCTCTTTCAGCTCTGGTTTCCTCATTGTGTATGCCCAGAAGTGGGATTGCTGGGTCATATGGCAGTTCTATTTCCAGCTTTTTAAGAAATCTCCACACTGTTTTCCATAGTGGCTGTACTAATCTGCATTCCCACCAACAGTGTAAGAGGGTTCCCTTTTCTCCACACCCTCTCCAGCATTTATTGCTTTAGACTTTTGGATAGCAGCCATCCTGACTGGCATATAATGGTACCTCATTGTGGTTTTGATTGGCATTTCTCTGATAATGAGTGATGTTGAGCATCTTTTCATGTGTTTTTTTGCCATCTGTATGTCTTCCTTGGAGAAATGTCTGTTTAGTTCTTTGGCCCATTTTTTGATTGGGTCATTTATTTTTCTGGAGTTGAGCTGGAGGAGTTGCTTGTATATTTTTGAGATTAATCCTTTGTCTGTTGCTTCATTTGCTATTATTTTCTCCCAATCTGAGGGCTGTCTTTTCACCTTGCTTATAGTTTCCTTTGTTGTGCAAAAGCTTTTAAGTTTCATTAGGTCCCATTTGTTTATTTTTGCTTTTGTTTCTAAAATTCTGGGATGTGGGTCATAGAGGATCCTGCTGTGATTTATGTCGGAGAGTGTTTTGCCTATGTTCTCCTCTAGGAGTTTTATAGTTTCTGGTCTTACATTTAGATCTTTAATCCATTTTGAGTTTATTTTTGTGTATGGTGTTAGAAAGTGTTCTAGTTTCATTCTTTTACAGATGGTTGACCAGTTTTCCCAGCACCACTTGTTAAAGAGGTTGTCTTTTTTCCATTGTATATCCTTGCCTCCTTTGTCAAAGATAAGGTGACCATAGGTTCGTGGATTTATCTCTGGGCTTTCTATTCTGTTCCATTGATCTATATTTCTGTCTTTGTGCCAGTACCATACTGTCTTGATGACTGTGGCTTTGTAGTATAGGCTGAAGTCAGGCAGGTTGATTCCTCCAGTTCCATTTTTCTTTCTCAAGATTACTTTGGCTATTCGAGGTTTTTTGTATTTCCATACAAACTGTGAAATTATTTGTTCTAGTTCTGTGAAAAATACCGTTGGTAGTTTGATAGGGATTGCACTGAATCTATAGATTGCTTTGGGTAGTATAGCCATTTTGACAATATTGATTCTTCCAATCCATGAACACGGTATATTTCTCCATCTGTTTGTGTCCTCTTTGATATCTTTCATCAGTGTTTTATAGTTTTCTATGTATAAGTCTTTGTTTCTTTAGGTAGATATATTCCTAAGTATTTTATTCTTTTTGTTGCAATGGTAAATGGTATTGTTTCCTTAATTTCTCTTTCTGTTTTCTCATTGTTAGTGTATAGGAATGCAAGAGATTTCTGTGTGTTAGTTTTATATCCTGCAACTTGACTGTATTCGTTGATAAGCTCTAGTAATTTTCTGGTAGAGTCTTTAGGGTTTTCTATGTAGAGGATCATGTCATCTGCAAACAGAGAGAGTTTCACTTCTTCTTTTCCTATCTGGATTCCTTTTACTTCTTTTTCTGCCCTGATTGCTATGGCCAACACTTCCAAAACTATGTTGAATAGTAGTGGTGAGAGTGGGCACCCTTGTCTTGTTCCTGATTTCAGGGGAAATGCTTTCAATTTTTCACCATTGAGGGTGATGCTTGCTGTGGGTTTATCATATATAGCTTTTATTATGTTGAGGTATGTTCCTTCTATTCCTGCTTTCTGGAGAGTTTTAATCATAAATGGATGTTGAATTTTGTCAAAGGCTTTTTCTGCATCTATTGAGATAATCATATAGTTTTTATCTTTCAATTTGTTAATGTGGTGTATCACATTGATTGATTTGCGGATATTAAAGAATCCTTGCATTCCTGGGATAAAGCCCACTTGGTCATGGTGTATGATTTTTTTAATATGTTGTTGGATTCTGTTTGCTAGAATTTTGTTAAGGATTTTTGCATCTATGTTCATCAGTGATATTGGCCTGTAGTTTTCTTTTTTTGTGGCATCTTTGTCTGGTTTTGGAATTAGGGTGATGGTGGCCTCATAGAATGAGTTTGGAAGTTTACCTTCTTCTGCAATTTTCTGGAAGAGTTTGAGTAAGATAGGTGTTAGCTCTTCTCTAAATTTTTGGTAGAATTCAGCTGTGAAGCCATCTGGTCCTGGGCTTTTGTTTGCTGGAAGATTTCTGATTACAGTTTCGATTTCCTTGCTTGTGATGGGTTTGTTAAGATCTTCTATTTCTTCCTGGTTCAGTTTTGGAAAGTTATACTTCTCTAAGAACTTGTCCATTTCTTCCAAGTTGTCCATTTTATTGGCATAGAGCTGCTGGTAGTAGTCTCTTATGATCCTTTGTATTTCAGTGTTGTCTGTTGTGATCTCAAAGCCCTTGAAACTTGAGGTGCAGTTTCTATATAGCACTATTAAGTTAAATTTTATTTGGTTTATGTCATTATTCACATTACAGAATAACAAAAGATGAGTTCACCATAAGATTCCTTTAATAAGATTCATTAATACATGTAAATTTGGTAAAATGATTTGATTTACTAAATTTAAAATTATAATACATATATAGATGTAATTTATATATAGTTCTTTGTACTTTTTTCCCCTCCTCTCCCCCCCTTTTTCTTTCTCTCTTTTAAGTCTTATCTTAGGATTCTAGTAATCATAGATTTGCTTTAAAAAATCTGTTTTATTGCTTCATCTGAATATTACTGTTCTTAGTGTGAAAATTATAGAGTTTTAGAACTAGAAGGATCTGTACCCCTTAGCTTAGATCTGTATTTTATGGGTGAAATTATTGAATTACTAAAAGGTGATGAACTTACCCAATGTAATGTTGCTCCAGTGAATAAGCTAGTACTATATGTATTTGCAATTCTCTCTGTACCATTAAATTGTGATATAACTTGAGGGGGATAAAAGGATAGATTTGGTTGATATTATCTTAATAAAAATTGTTAATTTTAATATATTGTTATGCTTAAATTATTTTATTCTAACAGGAAGGGTCTTAGACCTATTCCAGAAGCAGAAATTGGATTAGCAGTTATTTTTGTTACTACAGAGAATTACTGTGATCCACAGGGCCAACCCAATACAGGTAATTAAAATATTATTTTATTGATTCTTCAGCAACTTTGTTATATAAATGGATGATAAGCTGTATGAGCATTATACTTGCCGTGGTGACCACTTTCACCATCTTTTAAAGGTCATATGTTTATCCATTCATTTATTCATTCAGTGAATATTTGTGGCTGCTAAGTACTTGGCACTGTTTAGTCCTGAAGGAACAGTGGTGAATAAAGGAAACAAGATGCCTGTCACTGTGAACTTTATACGCTAGAAGTCAGGCTTCAGACAGTTAACAAGCATACACATCTGGTAAGCTCTGTTAAGGCCAAGTACAAAGAGAAAGCTGAAACAAGGTCACATGATAGTGACTGGGAGGCTCTTCTAGATTCGTAGTCACGTATGGTCTCACTTAGTATCATGTCATGTTTGAGCACCTCATGTCCTAAAGTGATGGGGAAGGTCAGCAGTGGAAGGATCTCGATAGCAGAATTCCTATCACAATCACATCTGTGTTGAGAATGGATTCTAAAGGCCCCAAATGGAAGTGGGGACATGGGTAGAAGCTCTTGTGGAGGTCCAGTTGAGAGCAGCCTGGTGCCTTGGACCAAGGTGGGTAGCACAGTAGAAAGCAGAAAAACAAACGGAGGCCAGGTTTTGGAGCTGGACCCAGCAGGTTGCCTGTGTAGGATTTAGAAACAACTTCTTATCTTTTGGCATGAGTAACTGGTTGGATGATGGTGCCATCTACGGAGATGAAGAATACATATTATAATCATCTCCATGTTGACTATTACAAAAGCCATTTTACGCAGAGCAACTATTACCCTTTTTTTAAAAAAAACACATTGCCCCACTTTCTTAATAAGCTGATGTTGCCATTAAGAAGGTGGTTCATTTGTTTTTCCCTTCTCGCTTCTTTACCTCAGATATTCTTAAGTTTATTCTCCTTTCTAACTTTTCTTTGTCTAGCTATGAGTGCATCCATTCAGTATTTCTTTATACCTTTATTTGCACCCTAGGTTCTTTTTAATAGTTATTTGTCAGCAGTTACTGGACTTGAACCAAAAGGCAAGTTATGAGAACTACCTGATTATGCACTCCAGGCGGTGTCACAGGAGGTAAAATTTATGCTGTAGCCCACTGAAATGGCACCTATGGAATTGGACAGTGTACCTTCTAATTGGTAATAATAGCTGCCGTCTCTTGAATTTGCAAAGCTTGCAGTGCTTGACATATGGCATTACAATTTAATCTGCAAAACAATCCTTTTAAGACAGATGACATTTTTTGCATTTTATAGACAAGGAAACTGATGTACAGAGAGGTTAAGAAATTAGCCAGAGGTCACATAAGAAATAATTTAATTTAAACTGACTCTTTAAGTCAGAGCTGTTATGATATTATTCTACTGCTCTTGTGATTGATTGTGTGGGGGTTACTGGGAGCAGATATAAAAGGATAGACAGCTAGTCCTTAGATTTTATGATCTGGTGAGATGTTTATTCACTTGAAATCTCTACCCTTTCCCATGAGTGCACTGGATATACTTCTGTCTGTAAACAGTTAACCTTCAAATACAGTTTTAAGAGCTTGTGAAGTTTTCAGTATAGTTGTGATATGGTGACTATTTCCTCAAAATTCATGACTCAGATTCTCAGAATTTATCCTTAGAGTCAGAAGTAAAATATCACCTCTTCAGCCTCTCTTAGAAAACTACTTTGATGTAGATACCAAAAGTGAGCCATATTCTCGGAGAAGATGTCCACTGGGGAGCTCCCAACCCTTTAGAAATAGCATATACTATAGATACTATTTTGTTGACAGTGGATTTCTGTTCTGCTATAGAAAAAACAAAACCCTATGTATAATTTCAGATTTTAACAACACTACAAAAATTATGTAAAAATAAATAATCATTGAGTCTATGTGAGGGGCTCCCTTTCCCAGTACCTGTTCGGGACAACTGTCCTTTGTTTTTCTTTCAAAAAACTAGTTCTCAGTTAGATAGGTGCTTCAGAAATATTTTTTTAATTCAGATTTACATTCTCTATAATTCAGAATGTTGTGGGATGCAGCCAAGGCATCAGATTTTTTTGGTTTGTTTTGCTTGATTTTAACCTCCTGTTTATTATATAAACTCCCAAAAAACTAAGAAAGGACTGAGCTAGAGAGGAGGTACTCAGACCATAAACTTAAATCATTTTTTTACTCATCTAACACCTGAAATTCTCCCTCTGTAGCTTCTGCTCAAGAAGCATGCTACCATCAAGATACTGCCCTGTTTGAACCCTCTGTATCTTTCTTTCCTGAGAGCTATTACAGTTGCCCCCAGTAAGAGTCATGCCTCCATATTCATCTGTACAGTTAATTTTTCACTTTGCCATTAGAATCACCTTCCCATTTCCTACAAACTTGTACTTGTTCTTATTATCTGTCAAATAAATCCTTACGCCCTTTGTCTAGACTTTTGAGCTTTTAACAGTTTAGCTGTGGCCTATCTCTTCCTGTCCTCATCTCTTTTGTTTAGTATACTTCCCTAAAGAATCTGTATGACATGTTTTTTAGCATTTCTTAATTTACTTGGGAATAATTCTAACATAAGTAACATTTATAATATGCTGTATTTGTATATGTGCCATACTCCTTGACCGTGCCCATCATGGTCCATGTTCCTAAAATGCCAGCACTGCTCTTCAGTATCTGACTCATTTCACAAATGCACACCTCCCTCATGAAGTCTTTCTAAGTGTTTTCCTCTCTCACTACTCTTCTCCAAGTCGGGTTATTCTGTTTTCTTTATCCCAGTAACTTTTTTTGCATTCCAGTTAGAGTTTTTCTCTACTCTGAAATGTCACCAGTTGTTTCCATGCGTATTTCAGCCACTAGATTGGTTGTTAAGCTTTTAAAATTTCTAGTTCTCTGACATCACCAATCACGATACTTGTTTGTAGTTGATATGAATATTTGCTTAATTGAACTAAGTTATTGGTACATAAGATAATCTTTGCTTGAATGGGCCAACAAAGTTTTATCATTTGTCAAAATTTTTATTACATTTCTGCTGTTAGAAAGTTATTTATAGCCAGAAGGTCCTTAGAGATCATCTAATCTTTCTAATATTAAAAGTAAGAGACCTGAAGGCTAAGAAAAGTTAAGATCCTATAAATAAAGTGGCCAAGAGTGTGTGTGCTCAGTTGCGAAGTCATGTCTGACTCTTTGCAACCCCATGAACTGTAGCCTGCCAGGCTCCTCTGTCCATGGATTTTCCAGGCAAGAATACTGCTATGGGTTGCCTTTCCTCTTCCAGGGGATTTTCCCAATCCAGGGATCAAACTCATGTTTCCTGCATTGGCAGGCAGATTCTTTACTGCTGAGCCTCCTGGGAAAAGCTCCAAAATGGCCCAGACAGTTCTAAAATTTGGGTTTTCTGACTACAAACCAGCACCTTTTCTAAGGTGTTATTCCGTATGGAAACATGGTCATGAGAAATTGGTAAAATCTATGTTGTAATTTCTTGCACATATTCATAGGTAGGTATGTGTGGGTTCCAAATCATAGACATCTGACTTACAAACCATTTTAGAGCACAGCTAGTTTGGGGGGAACAGAGTGAATGCATTTCCTTTTTTTTTCATCCTTTGTTTCCTTTTTTCCTTTCATATTCATTCATTTATCTTTCAACAAGTATTTTTTGAACAGTTGTTATATGCCTTTAATTATTCTGAAAACTTGGAATAAAGAGTTGAGCAAAGTAGAGCAAATCCCTATCCTTATGGTATTTTTAGCAAGGAGAGCATTGTCATTAATCTTACTGTTGACGAACAGTTACTCTGGTTCATTAGATTCAGTTTACGTGTTTCTTTTGGGCTTGCCTCGTAGCTCAGTTGGTAAAGAGTCTGCCTGCAATGCTGGAGACCTGGGTTTGATTCCTGGGTTGGTAAGATCTCCTGGAGAAGGAAATGGCGACCCACTCCAGTATTCTTGCCTGGAGAATCCCATGGACAGAGGAGCCTGGGGGGCTACAGTGCATGGGGTCACAAGATAGTGACACAATTTAGCGACTAAACCACCACTACCGTGTGTTTCTTTTAGTGATTATATACCCATTTTTAATTACTGTTTTTTGTAAACTATTCAAACTAAAATGAATTTTAAGGTATGTGTGTCAAAGGAATGCCAGTGAGCTTTTAAGATGTTCATATAATGAGAGTGCTAGAAGTAAGTTAAATACCTGAATTTGGAATTAGTCATAAACATTTTAACACATCCTATGTCAGGAGGATCTAACAGTGATAATTTAGTTTTGATGCTTAGTAAATGTCAACTTAAATTTTTTTCAGTTTCTTTAATTCCATTAACTTGTTTATATCCATTATATACCAAACATTGCTCAGAGTTTGGAGGTATAGAAATGAGCAAGACTCAGTCCCTGTTCTCAGGGAGGCTCCAAGTCTAGTGAGAGCAAGTAACAAGTATGGTAGAAGGATGATAGTGATAGCAGCTAGCACTTGCATGAAGAAGGAAGTGGCAGCGCACTCCATTATCCTTGCCTAGAGAATCCTGTGGACGGGGGAGCCTGGTGGGCTGCCGTCCATAGGGTTGCACAGAGTCAGACACGACTGAAGCGACTTAGCAGCAGCAGCAGCACTTGCATAGTTTGTACTATGTTCCAAGATTTTTCTAAGTGCTATCTATCAATTCATTTTGCCCTTAAAACATGTGAGGAAAATATTATAGTTATCCTCATTTCATAAATGAGGAAACTAAGGCACAGAGAGTTTAAGTAATACAGGTCACACAGCTAGCATTAAAAAGTTAAAAAGAATGTTAACAGTTGTAACAGAGTGATGTAAAGGGTGGTAGGGCAGCCAGAATAAAGGGCATCTAATTCAGTGTGGGAGGTTTAAGGAAAGTATTCCAGAGGAGTGGCACTTGAGTTAAATTTCTATCCCGGTATATAAAATGATGAAGTGATCATTATGGTTTTCTTGAGTAGCCAAAAAATGTATGTATAAAACTGTTTATTTCTTCAAATAGTATATTCCTTCTGAAAATTAAATTCTCATTGATTTTGATTTGTGTAGATACAGTAGATATACTTTTTGTGGAGGGAGAAATTTTAATTTTTTGGTTTCCTGACTAAAGCATAATTTCAATTAGAATTTAAGTTGAGTTTATTTTTATTTAAGTTGATAATCATTTAACAGGAAAGATTTGATGTAATTTTAACATGATTTGGTTCAGATAAGCCCGTCACAGATGCCAACAGGCTGCTGCTTACAGGCTGTTGAGTATTTGGAGAAAACTGTGTGCTATAGTTAATTCCCTCAATGTGGCACATTCCTGGCAACTTCCCGTGACCAAATGTCCTTTTTGTGTCTAGCAGTTGTGATTCTTTCTTTCACTTCTGTGATTTGCAGGATTGAAGACAACAACTCCAGGTCCAAGCCTTTCCCAAGCCTTACCAGCTAATGAAAATTTAATGCCAAATGCCTCAGTGAATACTACAACATATGTAGCTGACACAGAATCAGAACAAGCAGATACACGGTAAAGCTTCATTGATAACGAACTGTTGTTGTTATTCTATCAATAAATTAATAGTATATTCAAGAAGTAAAGCCAATGCCTTATCAAGTCATTTCTTGGGAGATAAAGTATTTGGAGTGTGGGATGCCAGGGAAAATAATATTTGGGGACAGGGTTTAGCAAACTTTATAAAGTACTAGAAAATAATATTTTTGGCTCTGTGGGCTATTGACTTCTGTCACAGCTACTCAGCTCTGCCACTGTAGAATTAAAGCAGCTGTGGACACATATAAATGAATGAGTGTGGATATACGCAAGTAAAACTTAATTCACAAAATAAAGTGGTCAGCCATATTTGTCCTACAAGTTGTAGTTTGTCAACTTCTGAAATAGATAAAGTTCTTTTTTTTATTCCTTGCAAATGTACATAGACGACTACAAAGAATTACAGTTTTATTTATGACTGGTGTTTTACGGTCCTCTACGTAAAGAGGGTTTTTTAAAATTGTTTTTGATTTTTTTTGGAAAGCAGGGTTAGCTCATATGTATCCTATGCATTTTTAAATTTAAGACGCTATTTTAAATCCATAATGAATTATTCATATTGAAAAATACTTACAGTAGCACTATAATATGCCATAACTAAATTTTCACTGTACCTATGTTTTGTATAGAAACTGTGCTTAACTTTTAAAAGAAAAACTATTAATTTTTTGAAAGTCAGTTTAATGACAGCTCTGGGTTTTTTGTGAAATAAGAATGGCAAAAAAACCCCATAAGAATAACAAAGATAATATATATTTAACCATTCATGGTAGAACTGTGTGTTTATGTGTGGGTTTAAAACATTTTTCTGTTAATCTAGAGTTCAATTGTAGAGACTGCCTTTTGGTTGGAATGTCACCATTTCAGTTCACTGAAAGTGATTGAAATACCACATTATATTTGTTCTGAATTTCTAGTTTTTATCATTTATTTTTTACATGCAAGTAATTTAAAAATTTTAAACAAAGCAAGAAACACTTAGGAATATGATGGCTTAATTTATAATAAGAGACAGAGTTATTATTTCATGTGTGTTTGGCAGTTTTTTATAGAGCATGCCTGACAGCATGTGCTGTAGGGGATGGAGAGAAGGCTGTCATCTGTCTTCAGGGAGCTTTGATGTCAAAGGAGCTGCTTTCTTGAACAACATATTATAAAATATATTCAATAAACTGTTATCTCAAGACAACTACATTCTAAAGCTGTATTATATTAGTACTATTTAAAGGACTTTATTTATGGATAAAAATTGCTATAAATTTGATTGTTTACCATACATTCTTTTCTTTTGCTGCAGTATGGATTTGAGTGAAAGACCAAAAGAAATGAAAGTATTTGGAATGGAACCAAAATGTAGAGTACTTTCACAAGAAACGTCCACTGTGAAGAAACCCCACAAAATAAGCTCTAACAATAATATAGTGTCAAATACTCTGGTTAGGATGAAAATCCCAGACTATCAGCTTTCACCGACTAAATTCCCACATGTAAATAAAAGTAGAGGTTGGCCTTCTCAGCATCGGCAAACCAACTCCATCAAAGACTATTTTCAGCCGCTTACCTCTCCCAAAAAAAGGTATAATTTTTAATAATAGTGTTTTATGCCTGTAAAAATACTTGTTTTATGATTGTAGAATGGTACTAAGTTCATATTCTCTGTGTAAGTATGCTTCTGTAGAAAGCTGTGGCCCTTTGAGCTTATCCCCTCTCAGAAATATCCACATTGCCTTCTTTTTTTTTTAATATTTTATTTTACTTTATTTTTTTTTTGTGGTTTTTGTCATACATTGACATGAATCAGCCATGGATTTACATGTATTCCCCATCCCGATCCCCCCTCCCACCTCCCTCTCCACCCGATTCCTCTGGGTCTTCCCAGTGCACCAGGCCCGAGCACTTGTCTCATGCATCCAGCCTGGGCTGGTGGTCTGTTTCACCCTAGATAATATACATGTTTTGATGCTGTTCTCTCTAAACATCCCACCCTCGCCTTCTCCCACAGAGTCCAAAAGTCTGTTCTGTACATCTGTGTCTCTTTTTCTGTTTTGCATATAGGGTTATCATTACCATCTTTCTAAATTCCATATATATGTGTTAGTGTACTGTATTGGTCTTTATCTTTCTGGCTTACTTCACTCGGTATAATCGCCTTCTTACCTGCGTTCATTTCTGCTGCTGTTGTTCAGCTGCCCAGTGGTGTCCGACTCTTTGCAACCCCATGGACTGCAGCACGCAAGGCTTCCCTGTCCTTCACCATCTCCTGGAGTTGCTCAAATTCATGCCCATGGAGTTGGTGATGCCATTCAACCATCTCATCCTCTGTCATCCCCTTCTCCTCCTGCCTTCAATCTTTCCCAAGCATCAGGGTCTCTACTGAGTTGGCTCTTTGCATCAGGTGGCCAAAGTATTAGAGCTTCAGCTTCAGCATCAGTCCTTCCAATGAATATTCAGGATTGATTTCCTTTAGGATTGACTGGTTGATCCCCTTGCAGTCCAAGGGACTCTCAAGAGTCACTAAGTTCATTAGATAGATTTTCTCTCATTTTTTTCCTTCTGTTGTTTCATTTTCTGAAAAGCTTTCCCACACCTGAGTTTTTTTGACCTACCTGTTTCCGTTGGTTAGGTCTCTCATTTCCTCTAGGACCATGCTTCATCATTTATTCTTAATTTCTAGCACCTTTAGTATCTTCTTCTAGGTGCTTTTCTTCTATATTTAAAGACTCTATCTCATTTTTAGCTTTTAAAACCTTCCCTTGACTTGATTTCTTCCTGGAGCTACTGCTCTTTACCTTTTAAATTCACTGTTAAACTTATAAGAGGACATTATTGTTCCCATTTCTGTATGAAATATTTCTTAACTAACCGTGTTTCATCATGACCTGACATCCTTGAGAGTAGTCACTGACACACTTCACACCTCGAGTGGCGCTTTGATGGCACTCCGCTCTTGGCCTTTGTTCTCTTTGTGATTTCTTCTTGGTTTTTGTGGTCGTGTCTCAGTTTTCCTTTTTCTTTTTTTTGCCTCTCTGACTTTGCTCCCATTGAGGACTTCTTTTCTTCCTACTATGTATGTTTCATTTCAGGTTATAAATGGTCAGTATATTTGGTCCTGACTTAGTAGCATGTCACTCCTACTTTTCCACAGAAATCTGCTTTTTTCCCTAATCATAGGCGTAAAACTTTTTCACCCCGTCATTGCACTGTATATGTAATTTTGTTAGCAGTTTACTGTATCAACACCTTTGACTCTTTCTCCTCTGCCTCCCCAAACCAGTAGTGCTGATTCTTCTTTTAATTGTCTATAAATAACTCTTTCCATCTGTTTGTGTTGCTATCTTTCTAATTCAAACTCTGATTATTTGGATTATTACAAAAACCTCTTGGTTGGTTGGTCTGGACCCTGACATTAGTTTAGCCTCATTAAGGTGTCACTCTTAACTGGTCCAGTTCAACATCCTCTTGTGAACCGGAGAGCAGACCCGGTTTGTGTGTCCTCTAGGGGCCTCAGTACTGTTTAAATGAGCTAAGTATTCAGCACTTACGGAGTGAATTTAGTATTGTATGGAATATACTTAGTCATATATTCACACATATAGTCTTACACTATATGCTAGATTTAGCCACTTCAACTTACTATCTTGAATTTGGCTCTCATGAACTGAACAGGTTTTAGTCCCAGGGCAATTTTTCCTTGCTCAGAAGTTCCCTACGTTACAAAGTAAGCTGTTTTTTTCCTGACAAGTCTTTTGTATTTTATATTATTCTACCTTTTCCTTCACACTGATTCATCAACTATTGCAACTTTTAAAAAAGAAGATAAACATCTCTCCATTGTTTAAGCTATGGGATTGATCAGTCCTATCAAAACAGGTGTGTATGAATTATGTACTATTTTCAGATGTCTACTTTTTTTATTTCTGATGAGATTGTTAATCATTAAAACCAGGAATATTGTCAAATGAAGAAGGGGGTGAATATTGCCAAAGTAAAAAATTACTTAGCTGTGTTCATTTTCTGTTCTTGTTTTCTTCTCTCCTTTTTTGAACCCAAGGGAAAGGGATGAAGAAAATCAAGAAATGTCTTTATCCAAATCAGCAAGAATGGAAATGTCTTGTTCTCTTTTAGAACAAACACAACCAACTACATCGTCGATAAGGAAAAATAAGGATGAACACCTATCTCAGAATGTGCTTGTGGAAAAAAACCCAGATAATTCATATGCAGATACCAATTTAAAACCCACTGTGAAAAATTATGCCAATGAGTCTCTTTTTACAGAAAAACTAAAATCAAAAAAAAGAAAAGAAATTGATGATTTAGCCATAGAAGATGAAGTATTAGAACAGTTATTCAAGGAAACAGAACTAGAGTTAGAAAGCGAAGTGAAAGTTCAAAAACAAGAAGAAGATATCAGTGTTAGAAAAAGGCCAAGATTGGATATAGAAACAAATGTCACTTTTAATGATGAAACAATACCAGAAAGTAACAAGATATCTGTAAGTAACATTATTTATTGAGAAGTATTGCAAATAGGAACTTAGAATGTTAAAAAAGTACTTTAGATATTTGTATTGACAGTATGAGCAGTCCTCCTGTTTATTTGGGGGAAAAAATTAGAATCTTCTACACCCCATGTTAAGTATAAGAGTTTGTTGGTTGATAAAGTAAATGTTAAAAATACAATGGTTCTTTGACTATTTATAATAGATGACAACAACTAAAATTGTTATTCATGATTGTTTTAATAGATTTCCAGGCTGTACTATTTTATTATATCAGACATTTGGCCATGATGTTAAGTATAGGAGGTGTTTTAATAGAGTAAACAGGCATTGAGAGATGAAGCAAGTTAGCAAAACAAAGTATCTACTTAAATAAATTTTTAAGATCGAGCATGTATAACATCATTAGAGATTTTAAATTTTCATTTTTATCTTTAATGTTCCATTCTCTTTTCATGAATATTGGTAATTGTTTTACTTACTTTGTTCTAAGACAACAAAGATTATTTTTTAGATTATTTCATATTTTATGCATTATTAAGTAGCCTACTATTTGTAGATTAGTTACCGCATTAGATGAGAGCACAGGTGCAACAAGTTGATAAGCATTTGTTGAGAATCCGAAGATTCCCGGGTGGTACAGTAGTAAAGAATCTGCCTGCTAAATGCAGGAGGTACAGATTCGATCCCTGGGTTGGGAAGATCCTCTAGAGTAGGAAATGGCAACCTACTCCAATATTCTTGCCTGGAAAGTCCCATGGACAGAGGAGCCTGGTGGGCTACAGTTCATGGGGTTGCAGAGCCAGACACGACTGAGTGACTGAGGATGAGAACCTGGTGTGTATCAATCACTATATAAATCTATAACTGTTACTGAAGAATCGGAATATATGTCCTGTTTAGCCTATATCCTGGAGATGGGAACGGCCACCCACTCCAGTATTCTGGCCTGGAGAATTCCATGGACTGTATAGTCCATGGGGTCAGAAAGAGTTGGACACAGCTGAGCAACTTTCAGTTCACTTAGCCTATATACTGGTATCTTCATATGAAGGAAAAAGTCCTCATTGTTCATTACTTCTTATGAGTGAATACTTAATACCCACTTTGGACCAGTGCATCACAATCACCTGGTGAGCTTTTAAAAATAAGGATTCCCAGACCAAAGGCCCAGAGATCCTGATTCAGCATGTCCAGTTTTCTTTCCAGAAAAAATTCCTGCATTGTATTAGTTAAGAATTCTGCTGTCTTTAAAAATCAGTGGCTTAAATAAGATAGGGTTATTTTTTTTTTCCTATAGAAGATTCCCAGAGGTAGGTAACCAAAGCTGCTTGGTAGCTGCTGGTATTAATTTCCTAGGTGTCTATCTTTCTGCTTCATGAGATGGCATCTCTGGCCATCAGGTCAACTTGCCTGGGAGGAAGAAGAAGGTGGAAAGGCAGCAGGGTAAAGGGCTTTCCGCTTGAGTTCATTCTAAGGAGCTTTCTCAGAAACCCCACTTGACAGCTTTGGTTGTTGGCCAGGATTTAGTTATGGTCTTTGCCAACCTCAGCCCTAACCCTCAATCTCCAAGAGGGTCTGGGAAATGCTTCAAACTTAGTATATCACTTAGGACAACATTGTCCCTTAATTAATATAAAAATTATATTAATAAGGGAGAAAGAGAATGGATACTGAGATATCTGTTAGCAAGGTGGAGAACTTCAAAGGCAGACAAGTCCTTTATTATCAAAGTTTTAAGATTAGTTATCACATTACAGAAAAGATTAATTGAACCAAGAGGTTTATGTATCCTATAAGTCACTTCTGTAGCAATTTCCATTGTAGTGGAGAATTAGATAAGTTGGTTTAATATGGCATTTGATGAAATCCAAGGGATGATGTCCTAAGTTTAATAAATTTATATCCCTTTATAAAGATGTTTATTAGATATATTTATTATACTTTCACTCTGAGTTTTCATTGTCACTTCAGCTCTAGACTGTACAAGAATCTCTGTTCAGGCTAGTATGTAATACTACAGTCTTTAGAAAGTCAGGCCCTATTTACATCACTTTGGGAATGCCTTTGCCTTGTGGGACCCTATCCTCCTATATTTATTTCTAATTTTTCCTGCTTTTTTTCCCCTAGTCTTCTTGTCCTTTTACATAGTTTATATATTTTTTAATAGGCTTTTTTTTTCTTTTTCTTAAATTTTTTTGCAGATGGGTCCACCACTCGGCAGTATCACAGGTCTGTCTGAGAGAGTTGTAGTTTTAGTCACAGAATACATTGGTCAATCCTGTCTGCTAATTAATTCCAATGAAGTGCTTTGACCACACATTCTTCAGGGGCTCATGTCACCCAAGGAATTGGGCATTAGGGCCCAGAATGGGAGAGACAAGAAGTGAGCACCATATACCCTCCAGTGGTATGAGAACCATTTAACAGTTTTTTGTGGACCTGGAAAAACCTTTCATTTAATGCCAAGGTTTACATGCTGTATAATGATACCAGGAATATAATTATTTTATTTTGCTCTATGATTCTGCAGCATCATTTCCTTTGTCCTTTTTTTTTTTTTTAAGAACTTATGACATTTTGAATAAAAACATGGTACAATATAAATACATTGTAGCATACTTTTGGAGAGTGAGTAGCAACTTGATTGTGACATGCTTCTGGAAATACTAAAGTTAAACCACTATTTTTATAATTTTTTAGTAAGAACCTTGTTAACAAAGGTATTTTTGCTTTCAATGTAAGATAACTTAAAAACTTTTTTGAAAACGGAAATCCAGCCGAGAATACTGGAGTTGGTTGCCATTTTTATCTCCAGGGGATCATCCCAGCCCAGGAGTTGACCCTGTGGCTCTTGCCACGTCTCCTGCATTGCAGTCAGGTTCTTCACCACCAAGCCACCAGGGAAGCCCAGGAATGCAAAATTATGATGCTCCTCTCCGGCATTGGGTTCCTCCACTGTATGTCAGAAGGATGTTTTCTAAGACATCAGAAAATATCAGAACAGTCATTTTTGTGTTCGGGGATTAAATATGGATTTTAGCATGTCTGTAAGAGTTCCTGTAAGCTAAAATAGAAAGCTGTTGGCTAGATTCCCGTTAGGAGTTTATTCTCATGTGAATGACAGCTGTCCCAGGGTCTTGGCTTTGCTTTCAGTTCCCCAGTCTTCATAAAATGCCGACATGACTCCACATCCTTGTTAGCATTCCTCCTAACAGCGCCCACTGTCCACAGAAGTCTCTTCATCACCTCATTTCTACCCTTGTGTTTTGAATTAAGGTTTCCTCTTCTCTTAAACAACTATGTGCTTAGTCACTCAATCGTGTCTGACTCTTTGTGACACCATAGACTATATAGCCCACAAGTCCATGGGGATTCTTTAGGCAGGAATACTGGGGTGGGTTGCCATGCCCTCCTGCTCCAGGGGACCTTCCCAACCCAGGGATCAAACCTGGGTCTCCCACACTGCAAGCAGATTCTCTACTGTCTGAGCCGCTAGGCAAGCCTATAGCGTCTTTGAAAGCCTGGCAGCTAGGCCTGTCATTCACTGGGCACCGTCATGCTGTTCGCAGCAGCGTACACTGAGGTAGTGTTCCACACATGAACAGACTTGGACACTGGCAGTAGGAGTTATGTAACTCGCCCAGCTGCCTACGTAGGTTTTGACAACTGGGACAGAAATCCTTGCTTCACCTTGTTCTTTTGGCTGTTCCCTTTGTCAGCTTTCTCAAAATGTCATTCATTCATTCTAGACATTGGGCGTGCTAACATGAAAGGCAGTCGGAGTGGATAAGTTTGATAGAAATTTAGGAGGTAGAATCTCTAGGACTTGGTGATTGACTTAATAAGAGAGATGAGGAGAGAGGAAAAAGTATTGGAAAATTCCCAAGCTTACAGTCCCAGGCTCTGGGTATGGTTATAGTGTGATTCTCTGAGGTAGGAAGTAAAAACTTGCTCAAGCGGATGAGCAAGTTTGAGGTAGTAAGACAGAACGGGGAAAAAAACATAGGGGGTTAAAATGTGATTGTGGTAACAACTTAGAGTGGGTGATGTATGTGAAAATACTCAATAAAAGGGTATGTGGTAGCCTTGGAATAGACATTTTTAATCTTACTACTGATAAATAACATTAATTTCTTTAGTCTCTAAGCAAGCTCAGAGTACATTTTGCTTTTTCTTTCCAACTTTATTATTAACATTTTTCTGCATTTTTATTACTGAATCATTGAAAATTTGATGTAAAATGATATGCCCCCCTATTGTATCCAAAGGGATTGTAATTTTTATTGAAAGTATTAGAAAGCTATCTGTGTAATGTACTTTTATCTCATATGTGAGCTATGAGTATGAAGGATAGTATGATTTTATGCAGGAAAGTCTCCATTTTTTTATAGATAAATACCTTGAACAATTAAAATAACTCTGCCTGGATTAAGGATATTTAACATTCAATTCTAAATAAATTTAAATAGACTTCCTTAAAAATTTGTTTTTGACTATAAAAGTAATACACAATCATGTAGAAATATGAAAAATAACAATTTGTTGATAATCCTATCCTCTGTAGATAACCACAGTTAATATTTTGGCATTTTCTTTTTTAAATCTTATTTTTTAAATTGGACTCAAATGTTAATGCAATTTTATAGCCATTGTAATTCCTTTATATTATGATCATTTCTCATATTATACTCTTTATAACTTATATGAACTTAGGTTGCTTCTAGTCCTTTACTCTTACAACTCATCCTACAGTCTTTTTCTAAATATATTTCTATTCTCATCTCATAGTATCTCTAGGAAAGATACTTGAAAGTCGTAGATCAAGAACATGAATAATCTAAGGTTTTCAGAAAGGTTCCATCTTGTAACTCTTATGAACAATATTTTTTATTTCTTTAGCAAGAAAATGAAATTGAGAAGAAGTGTGAGCTCAAGAAAGAATCACTCTGGTCAACTAAAGAACTATCTGTGAGGAATTTTTTAATTTTTATAAAAATTTGACTTATATTGTCATTTCATTGATTTTTTTTCTGAGTCTTCATTCTTAGGATTAAAGCTGATTCTGTTTCTATAATTTTGGTCTATTTCATAATTATACTTCCTCTGGAAATGGACAGATCATATTATGAACATGGTATAGCAAAAAGAATGTGGAGAAAGCCTGAGTATAATTCTCTGCCCTCTACTCCATAGATCTGAGACCTTTAACAGGTCATTTTCACATTTACGAACTTCAAGTCTTTTGTTTATAAAAACACTTGATATTTCTACAGTAGAGTTGTTGTTTATATAAAATAGAGTAATGGATAGGAACTATTTGTAAACTCTAGAACAAACTACAAGAATATTAGGCTATTGTCATTAGAGTTCCTGATTACATTCTGTCACTGTCACATGAACCTTTTCTTTTGATTTTTCTGTTTTTTCATCTCTTCCTAACTGTCTTTATCTTAGTCCTGTTAGCAGCTTGCAAATGGATATATAGTAAAGCAGCTTAAAAAACTACGATGGTCAGCCTTGGGCAGCTGTAAGAACATGGATATGTAGCTGCTTAGTTAATAGTAAATGACATAAAGAATCTCTTCCAGCAACAGAAAGGAATCTTCACGCTGATTAAATAATTGTTAATCTGGAATTTTAAAAGTGGCTTTCAGTTAATGAGGTGGTGTGTGCCCAGAATTAGTGGTTGAATTTTTTGAGGTGTCCAAACTAATAAAAAACATAAATTATTGAAAATCAAGAAAACTAAAAAAAAAGAAAAGAAAAGAAAATCAAGAAAACTTAAGCATAGTACAGATAACTTGTAGAATGGATAATATATAACTTGTAGAATGGTTTTAATGAAAAGAAGCAAACTGTTTCTTGCCAAAAAAATATATACAAGAAGATAAATTGTTTACTGGGATGATTTTTATTAGAATATGCTATTAAATTTCAAATACTTTATGGCTTTTTAGTCTTTTGTCATACATGAGTATGTTATAAATGTTTCTGAAGTTAGAGTCAGAAATACTACTTGAGTGATTTTCTGGTTTTGAAATAGATAAGATTTGATTTCAAGTACAAAGTTCAGATGTCAGAAATAAACTTTTTTTTTTTTACTGTTTTTTCAGATATTTGAACTTTTTTCTATAAGTTCTTTAAGTGACAAGTAATTTTCCTTTTCCTTCTTATTTTATCCATCTTAACACTGTTTAAGAACAATGGTGAACTTCAGGATGGTAATGAGATGCTTCCGAGGAAAGTGTTACTGACTGAATTTCGTTCACTGGTGGTGCGTAACTCCACCTCCAGAAATGCATCCAGTGTGAATAATGATTATGGTGAACTAAAGAATTTCAAGAAATTCAAAAAGGTATGTATTCCTTTAAAATGCAACGAGAGTGCAATGTCTGAAATATTTTTAGAAGTATACTAAATAGTAGTAAAAGCAGTTTATGTTGAAAACTGATGTTATTTCTCCTGCTTAAAACAGTTAAAAGTTACTCTACTAAGTATATACACTGACACTTAAATTAATATATAAAACAAACTATTAAGATTGAATTCTTTAAAGGATGCTGTTTACCCGTTTTCCTACCTTACACAGCAGGCTTTTGGCTAGGGTCCTCCTAGTTCTTTTTCTTTCTTTCCTGTTTTGGTCATCTTTTGGTTGCTCAGTGCAGCTTACAAGATCTTAGTATCCAACAAGGAATCAAACCTGTGTCTTCAGCAATGAAAGCATGGAGTGCTGAAAGAATATTTTTCATCTCATCTCTATTCTTTTTGTTGTCTCTTCTAGGGTGTTTTGTTTCTTGCTCCATACTACTATTGACCTGCTAGGTTTTACATATGCATTTGATCAGAATGTAGTAATTTTTTCAAAAGTGATTGCTGTGAAAGACTGCTTTTCTCTAGAACATGATCTATATGATTTTTGCCATGACTACAGGGTGTTGTAGTTTTTCCCTCTCGAATGTGAGCTATTATTAATTAGCATTAGTTTTCTGCTTATGACTTTAGAGCCATTGAGAGTGTTATAGTATTATTGAAGTGTTCTGAGCGCCGTTTAACAGGAGGACTCTCTTCTGCTTAGAGCAGACAATGGGGACTATCCCCACTCATTCCCCAGCCCGCACGGACAGCACAGGGACACCCATGTTGAGTGCCGCAGCACAAAGGCTCGCTGGGCTCAGATGCAGAGGGCACGCTGAGTTTGTTAAGTAATGCAGCTGACCACATAAAAGCGATGTGCTGTTCACTGTTGGCGCAGGAGCGGTGAGAGTGTGAAGTAGTATAAACTTCTGGAAAATAGTTCAGAAACATTTAAAACCCTTATAAATACTAATATCTTTGGCCAAGGAAATTTTTTGAGACTAAAAGAAATTCAGTTTTTATACAAAAAGAAGTTTAAAGGGATTGCCTCTCATGAAAGGATTTGTCTGAATTTTTCTGTATAATACTCAAATCAATGAAATGACTGTTTCTGCTCACTTTCACTCATTTTAATTTATATAATATAAATATGTTTAGTACTTACATGTGATTTACAGTCTTTGTGTTTTTAAGGTTTGGGGTTTTTTTAAAAATATGATTGTCTTAATTTTTTAGTGCATTTAACAAGGTTTTCTGTTCAACAGGTCACATTTCCTGGAGCAGGAAAACTTCCACACATCATTGGAGGATCAGATCTAATAGCTCATCATGCTCGAAAGAATACAGAATTAGAAGAGTGGTTGAGGCAAGAAATGGAGGTTAGTAGGAACCCAGACCCAGTAACTTGTTTGATTATTTGATCCCTTGTGATTTCCTTAGAGCAAATTCTTCTTAAAAACCAAACTTAAGATAAGTGGCCTAAGGTTATTCAGAAAAATTCCTGAGTTACAGAGCATTAAGATTAATTTGCACCTTTCCATAACGCTTCTTTAAGGGACTTCTAAATTTATTGATCATATCTAGAACTAATTTGCTGCCTAAGCCTCAGGAACCCATACCTCAGTTATAAAATTGCTCTTTTGGGAAAATATGAACAGCTATACAGCTCTCCATGTTAGGAGTTGGTTTCCAAAATTTCACTGTTTTACAGATAATCAGCTGCATGTGTTTATAAACGCTAATGGGAACTCAGAGGAGAGAATACAAAAATATGCTTCCTTTACTTTCTGGGTGTTGTGAGTCCCAGTGTATTTATATTCTATAACAGGACTGTCCACCTGATCCATAATTCTTTCAGCCCCTTTTTTTTAAACTGAAGAATTGAACAAAAATTCATTAAATTGAGGAGTCTTTTCGTACAGAAGTACTACATGGCAGTTAGGAATTCAGAAACACATGACCACTGACTTGAGAGATAATCAAAGTCCACATCCAGAGTTAGAAAGGCGTCTTCTTGGTTCTTTGTATTGCCTGATTATCCACTGTTCCTGGAAACCAAAGGTGGGCTCCATTGATCATCCCAGCAGGCCGTTTGGTAATTAGGGAGTAGGGGCGATGTCACTTTCGTGCTCTCTGATGTGACCTAAGTCCCCGTTTCTCCTCAGTGTATCTCACCTCCTTTCTAGATATTTCACTCCTTCGTTTCTTTGGATTTTACTTTTGATAATTTCTTCAGATTGTCTTCCGGTTTAGTATTTCTCTCATCAGATCTGTCTGGTTGGTATTTCACTCATCCATTGAGTTTTCACTCGACATACTGCATGGTTTCATTTCTGAAAGTGCATTTCATTTATTTCTAAGTCTAGTTCCCTGATATTTTAAAGCTGCTGTTCTATATTCAACACCTAAAGTGTTGATATGTTTAATCTAGTTCTCTCTCTGGGTGCCTTGTTTCCAAGTACATATTTTGTCATCTTTGAATGTGAACTGCTTCTTTTCCTTGGGAACTTGATCTTTTGGGAATCCTTAAGTCTAATTTCAGGTTTATTTCCTCCAGAAATATGAGACTCCTTTAATCTCTGCTTGTAATGTTTTTGGACCATTCAGCTAGTTAATACATATTTGGACCCAAAGCTTGAGTGAAGGCTAACCTGTCATTATAAACTTAGTGAGATTTTTAAAAATTCCTTTCTTTCAGTTTGTATCAGGGTCAAGACAAGCAAGTGTATTTGCTGTGTTTTTTGTGTGTTGTAGTTTGTTCCCGTTTCACCCTTTAATACTGGAGTCCTTTATTCCTTGTCTTGGGTCTTCTTTCATAATGCTCATTCCCCACACAGATGTCAGAGGAGAGCCTGGGCTTTTGTGGTCTGCAGACCCCCACAGAGCAGGTCGAAAGCTGACTTTGGTACTTGGTAACGTCTCAGGACTTGTATTTTGCTTTATTATGGGTTAAATGCAGTGTTTTATTTCAAAGAACTTTTCTGTTACCTCCTTAAAGACATTTTTATATTTGCTGGGATCACTACACTTAAGGCATTACTCTCCTTTATTAAATCACCTGCTTCACATCCATTTCTTCTACATTCACTGTGGTTTTCTTTATGCTCTTTAACTATATCAGAAATTCAAATTTCAGTTGTATGTGTTCTATTCCTCACCAGCTATATTATGTGATCTTGACTTCTTTATACCTAATTAGAAATAATTAAAATTCTAATTACCCATTTAAACATTATTTTATTATTCCTCTGTTTCCTTCTCTGCAGAATGGGACCAATAATAGTACCTCCATTTCACAGGCTTTTTGTGAGAATTACAGAAGACACTACTTAATACAACATTTATAATAGTGGAAACTGTGTTAGCTATTTCTTAATTCTGAAATGGTGTCATTACAGGTTCAGTTTGTTTACTTAGCATTCATTGCCATTTCATTTCATTGTGTTTTTCCTATCATTTAACTTTTTTGTTCTTATTTTATTGCTTTCATGTTCTTATTAATTTTATGTATCTTTTGTTCATGGGTTATTGTTTCTTGCAGACCAAGTTCTTTAACTGTCTTTGGCATGTTCTGTTCTCACCTCTCTCTTTTTTCCCCCATCTGGATGTGGAGTGGCTTTGCTGTTTTGTTTAATTTTGCCACTATTTAAAGTAAAAGACCTGTCCAGATATTGTTTGCTATGTGACACAGCATGTGACGTCTTATGCAGGGATTACGTTCTAAAACCAGTCTGGGGCTTCCCTGGTGGCTCAGTGGTAGAGAATTCACCTGCCAGTGCAAGAGACATGGGTTCGATCCCTGATGTGGGAAGATCCCCCACGCTGCCAAGCAGCTAAGCCCGTGAGCCACGAGTACTGAGCCCGTGCTCTGGAGCCTCGGAGCCTCGACTCCTGAGCCCACACCCCCTAGAGGCCATGCTCCACGATGGGAGAATCCGCCTCGGTGAGAAGCCCCCACTTGCTGCAACTAGAGAAAAGCCTGCGTAGCAGTGAAGACCCAGCACAGCCAAAAATAAACAAACAAAATTATTTTTAAAAGAAGCAGTTTGAGGTAGAAATTGAATGTAGTTAAAATCACTCCTACCCCAGTGCATCCATACTTGTCATTATGGCAACATATTCAGTCAAATGCATGGAGCATGTCCCATCTACTTGCTATTGCCTGAGACTACTGAACTTGACGTTTGGGGAGGTGGGGTGGTCAGGTAAAGCTATGTGCTGCTCTTTCTGGGAATGGAATTAAATATGTGCCAGGGAGGGTATCTCTTCCCAGCAGAGGATAACCTAGCATTTCAGGTTATTTGCCTGATCTGGCAGGGATGCCTGCAGCCTGTGTCTTGGTCAGTGTCAGCCTCACTCACTCACCTTTCCGCGCCGTTAGCCCCCTCCCAGCAGCCCAGCAGGAGGTGTTTTCTCTTTCCTGCTTGGACTGCTCTTTCCCAAACTTGTAGTATTAGTAAGCATCCTCAGGTTTGGACAGTTCTGTAGCACCTTTTAACGAGTTGGAGGAGCGTTAGGAATCAGTTACATTAGTCTTTGGCTTCTTTGCACGGCCACGTTTTTGAAATCAACATCTTGATTACTTATAACTGTTGCGTGTTACTTGTTCTTGGATGGGGTGAAACTGAGAGAATGATGGTGTAGCTGCTGACTTGTGTCTTTCTTTTATTTCATCAGCATTAGTAGAGGGACTGTTCTAGATTTATTCTATCAAATCTGCTTCTTTTCCTAGAGCAATTCTGGGCACTCTAAGTAGAATTTGCTAAGATAAGAGTTGACTTTTTCCTTCTACGTGGCCACAGCTCCTAAACGGATGTGCTACTGTCTTGAGGTCTCATTTCCCTGTGCTTGCTCTAGCTACTCTTCTGTGTTCCCTGCCTTTTGTTTAAGACCTTCTTTCTCTTCTTTTACTGCAGACCAGTCTTAGTTTTCACTATCACTTAGTTCCCATACTCTCTTTGAATATAGGATATTTTCATTCTGTGCATTAAACATAACTCTTTGAATTCTACCCAACCTGATTTGGATTTTTAAAGACTGATACATAGTTCTCCCAAGCCACTGATAAATGCCAGTAATAGGAATGCCATTTATTTGTTTTTTAACACTATTTTACTTAATAATTTTACTGAGATGTACAATGTAAAGCTGATTTTTCTTTTTTAAATAATTTATTTTAATTAGAGGATAATTACTTTACAATATTGTGATGGTTTTTGCCATACATCAACATGAATCGGCCATAGGTGTACACATGTCACCCCCATCCTAAACCCCCGTCCCACCTCCCTTCCCACCCCATCCCTCTGGGTGGTCCCAGAGCACTGACTTTGGGCGCCCTGCTTCATGCATTGAACTTGCACTGGTCGTCTGTTTTACATATGGTAATATACATGTTTCTATGCTGTTCTTTCACATCATCTCACCCTCGCCTTTTCCCACTGAGTCCAAAAGTGTCCTTTACGTCTGTGTCTCGTTTGCTGCCCTGCATGTAGGACCTTCTGAATCCCACATATAGGAGTTAATATACAGTGTTTGTCTTTCTCTTTCTGTCTGACTTCACTCTATAATAGGTTCCAGAGTCATCCATCTCATTAGAACTGACTCAAATGTATTCCTTTTTGTAGCTGAGTAATATTCCACTGTGTGTATGTACCACAACTTCCTTATCCATTCATCTGTCAATGGACATCTAGGTTGCTTCCATGTCCTAACTATTATAAATAGTGCTGCAGTGGACATTTGGGTACGTGTGTCTCTTTCAATTCTGGTTTCCATCGGGTATGTATGTGCCCAGCAGTGGGATTGCTGGGTTGTATGGCAGTTCTATTCAGTTTTTTAAGGAATCTCCACACTCTTCTCCATAGTGGCTGTGTCACTTTGCATTCCCACCAACAGTGTGAAATGAGTCCCTTTTCTCCACACCCTCTCCAGCATTTATTGTTTGTAGACTTTTTGATGATGGGCATTCTGACCAGTGTGAGATGGTACCTCATTGTGGTTTTTATTTGCATTTCTCTAATAATGAGTGATGTTGAGCATCTTTTCATGTGTTTATTAGCCATCTGTATGTCTTCTTTGGAGAAATAGCTGTTTAGGTCTTTTGCCCACTTTTTGATTAGGTTGTTTGTTTTTCTGGTATTGAACTGTATGAGCTGCTTGTACATTTTGGACATTAATTCTTTGTCAGTTGTTTAATTTGCTATTATTTTCTCCTCTTCTGAGGGCTGTCTTTTCACTTTGCTTATAGTTTTCTTCATTGTGCAAAAGCTTTTAACTTTCAGTAGGTCCCATTTGCTTATTTTTGTTTTTATTTCCATTACTCTAGGAGGTGGGTCATAGAGGATGTTGCTGTGATTTATGTCGAAGAGTATCCTGCATAGTTTCTGGTCTTACATTTAGGTCTTTAATCCATTTTGAGTTTATTTTTGTGTATGCTGTTAGAAAGTGTTCTAGTTTCATTCTTTTACACGTAGTTAACCAGTTTTCCCGTCACCACTTGTTGGAGAGACTGTCTTTTCTTTATTGTTTATTTTTGCCTCCTTTGTCAAAGATGAGGTGTCCATAGGTGTCTGGATTTATCTCTGGACGTTCTGTTTTGTTCCAGTGATCTGCGTTTCTGCCTTTGTGCCAACACTACACTGTCTTGATGACTGTGGTCTGTAGCAGAGTCTGAAGTCAGGACGGTTGATGCCTCTAGTTCTCTTCTTTCTCAAGATGGCTCTGGCTGTCCAGGGTCTTTTGTGTTTCCATACAAATTGTGAAATTGTTTGTTCTAGTTCTGTGAAAAATACTGTTGATCATTTGATAGGGATTGCATTGAATGGGTAGTTGCTTTGGGTAATACTCATTTTGGTATTTAGGTATACTCATTTTCACAATATAGATTTTTACAATCCAAGAGCATGGTATTTGTGTCTATTTGTGTCTTCCATTTGTGTTCTGCTCTACTTATTAGACAACGTAAAAAGATGTAATTTCATTTTGACATTTCATTTTATGAATAGAAAATCATCCTGGTAAGTTTGAATCCCTGCAAGTATAAGCTGGTGCTCTTATTCAAGTAGACCTGGTCAATCCCAGTTCTTCCATATGATAGTTTTCTGATTTTTCTTAACCTAAGTCTCTTTTCCTTGTTGGTTAAAATTGGGATCATAGTGTTAAATAGTAATGAAGTTATGTGAAGATTAAGTGAGTTTATCTTAGAAACGGTTTTAAGATAGTATCTAGAAACACATAAATGTAAATTATTTATAGTAAACAAGCAGTATCTGCCTTCAGTGAACTTACACTTCTTTAGTGGAGACGTGATACAAATAATTATAACAGAAGGTAGAAATTGATAAGAATCTAGGGGTCACATAGCTAAAGTTTTGTGGGAGTTCTTCATATCAGACGCGTTTTTATGTTCTTAAATTATTTATTTTGTATTGGGGTACAGCTGATTCGCAATGTTGTGATAGTTTTGGGTGAACTGTGAGGGGCTCAGGCATGAGTCCCTTCACATACATGTGTCCGTCCTCTCCCGTCCAGGCTGCCACGGCACATTGAGCAGAGTTCCATGTGTGGTACAGTAGGTCCCTACTGTACAGTTGGTTATGCATTTCAGTCATGGCAGTGTCAGCCTTATTTTTAAATGAAGAGACTCAGAAAGCCATTGTTAAAGGTGAAGAACATGTTCCTTGACACATAAGAGGTAGTAAATAATTATTGAGCAAATGCACCTTGAGAGATGGTCAGATGTGGACAGAGGAGGAAAAGGAAGTAATTTCTAGGTAGAGGGAGAAACATGGACAAAAGCAGAGAGGCCAGTATGTTTGCTGGGAGGTGTGGGTGGTGTTTTGTCTTTTTGTGTGATTCAATTTGTCTGGCTTTATAGGGTTCATGAAGAAGAGGGTGAGAAGTGATTGAGAAAGTAAATGGAGCCAGGTCATGAAGACCCTTTCCTATTATTTATGGGTCGTCAGACTCAAGAGTGTGTGTTTTCTTTGGTAGGTTGGGGAAGTCATTGAAGGGTTTTGAATGGCACACGGTAAGATCATAGCTGGACTTGAGGAAGGATGCACGCAGCACAGGGTATTTCCGGTCCTAAGTCTCAAAGGTGCTTTAGGAGTTTGGTGAGTTTGTGTGCAAAATTACTTTGCGGATGAGGTAATTCAATAGCAGTTTCTGAGCCCTGATTTGGGACTGTGAGGAGGAGAGCTGCTTTAACTGGAGAGCTGCTCTGGTTGAAGGCAGGGTAAATATTACCCTCTCAGGCCTCCAGCAGTGGCATGATCTCAAAACATTGACATTTCATTTAGTAAAAGGGTTTTGCTGGAAAAAAATTTTAAAAACTTAACAAACTAGCAGTATATGTGTTGGTTGCCTTTGAGAGGAGACTGGCTGGAGAAATTTGATTAGGGGACTTCTGCAATAATCTTGGCATGAAGGGAAAATGTTGAATGGGCGAGAACTGGTGACCTCTAGGATGTGGTCAGCTGCTACAGCCAGTGCAGAGCAAGTAGGGGTTGAAAGTGGTCGATGCACAGTTTGGGGAAAAAGAAACTTAGAGACAGAATGAAAGTTTTGAAGATGGGACCAGGGGACTCAAGACCTCTTGGATCAAGAGCCCTGTTCCTTGGAGCCCTATCACATTTATTTAGTGTCTTGGCAACAGAAAGAATCTGTTGTGCTGCATGAAGTCAGCCTCCTGTGTCCCCGGTCATGTCTCCCGTTTTATTGATTACTTTAGACTGTCTTTGTTATTTTCTTGTACAAGGGTTATCACCTAGCTGGAGGTCGTAGACCCACATATGCCTTGGGAAAACATCTTGGTGTGTGCACAAGCAGCATTCTGAACTTGCACTGACCTGGCGTTCTGAGGTCCACAGTGTTTTTCTTTAGTTTAGCAGGGTATGATGATGCCAACAAATCAACCCAATGTACTTTTATTTGGGTTATGCTGTATCGCTATATTTTGCTTTTATTCTTTTCCCATGGTGATTTTCTCACGGCTTAGTCAGAGCAACAGGCGGCTGTTAACCCTTACTGTCAACCAGCATGGCAGTTTCATTAACTGTGTATTCGTCCTTGAGCAAATCTTTGAAATTATGTTAATTTTGACAGGTTCAAAATCAACATGCAAAAGAAGACTCTCTTGCTGATGACCTCTTTAGGTAAAGTTTAATTTCAGCTTTCTTGTGAATTGTTGTATATAACACTCAGTTCTGTTGATAGAGTTTAAATGTTTCGACCCCTTTCCTTAAAATTAGACACTTAGTACCTTCACCTGAATAATATTTTGTCTTGTTTAACTACTTGAGCACCTCTTTACTACTGGATATAGCTTCAAGGCTTGGGCTTAATTCACTTGCACTGTATCACAAGGTGTTTAAAATACATGTGAGCATTTGGGCTTCCCTGGTGGCTCGGGGTAGACAATCCGCCTGCCAGTGCAGGAGATGCAGTTTGATCCCTGGGTCTAGAAGATCCCCTGGAAAAGGAAATGGCAACCCACTCCAGTATTCTTGCCTGGGAAATCCCATGGATAGTGGAGTCTGGTGGGCTGTAGACCATGGGGTTGCAAGAGTAAGATATGACTTAGCAACTAAACCACCACCACCATGGGATATTTAGACAAATGAAGGTTCCTGAGCTAGGTGAATTTTACTGATATATTTTTGAGATTTTCAGCCCTGAGTAGAAAGAATTATGAATGAATGGAGTTTGAAATAAGATAAGTAAAATACCAGACATGAAAATAAGAAGCTGGATTAGAGTTTCAAAGCACGTTTTTGTGAGAGGGTTAGAGGAGTTATAATGGATAATAATAATTTAATTCAGATTTAACATTTGCAGCATTCTTGCAGGCCTAACAAGTTTTATAATAATTAGCTCTCAAATATTCATAAAATACAATATAGTAGGTAGACATTCGCTAGGGTGGAATAACGTTTTCCCAAGAAATACTGTAATTTTGAGTCTGTTTTATAGCCGATTTGACTTTTAATTTCATTATTGAAAGTATGAGTCATTGATGAAAATGTTGACAAATGGTGCTGATTTTTCATAAGTATAGTCAGATGAGAATACTTGCCCAACTACATTTGTTCAGTTGCTATAGGAGAAGACTTTTTATAACATAATTATATTTTAGCTTCATTATGCTCTTTTGGGCAAATGGTAAAACTTAATGTGGGAGTAGAGAGATCTGTTTGCAGCTAGTCTGGAGGAAGTATAAAAACATGTATTAATTTTTAAACTGTTGTTTTCATTAATTACTTTAAAGCTTTTACAGGATTTTTTATGATGTTTTACTTTAAGTCTTCGCTCAATATTTGATCCTCGGGATAAAATTGGCATTCTCATTCTGTTTGCCAAAGTGTGTCTGTATTTTGAAAGTCCTTTAACTTGTGAAAGGAGCACCATTATTTATCTAGATATCATCTGACTCAGTTTCTTTCTTTGCAGATACAATCCTAATGTTAAAAGGAGAAGATAACAAGGTTTTATGAAGAAGCCACAGAAAAACATGTCCTATTTAGTATTTACTTCGAGTTTCCTCTGCAGTACATTCATACTGTGTATAGAAGATTTAAGTTTATGGCCTAAATTTGTTAAATAAAACACACAAACTCAGTTTCTTTTGTTTGTGACAATTAGTATTGTTTGTTCTGTTTTTAGTCTTTGTCATCTCATCTTTTATAATTTTTTTTTTCATTTTTAAATGTAATTTTAACTTATTGAATAGTTAATATAGTCATAGTTCAAAATTCTAAAAGTATAAAAAGGTAAAAGCTTAAAAAGTCTCCCTTCTACCACTGTCCTGGCTGTCTGTCTCCTCGCCTCTGAAAAAGTCCATGATACTCATTTCTTTACAGAGATTTTTAGTGCCTATTCAAATTTCTATGCATATCATTTTTCATTAATTTCCTATAGAAATGATACAATGTTATATACCTTACTCTTTTTTATTGACTGGATTGGAAGGTTAGGGTAACATCAGAGCATAATATTTTTCCTTTTTATCATTTTTTCTTTTCCATTATGCTGTAGTCTTTCATGAACTGAAGTAACCCAAGTGAAATGGATTCTAGTATTGAAGATGCCACCCACTTATTATGCTGATATCGAAAATGACAGTGGAGGGTGTCATCAAGCTTGGGGACATCTTCCTAAAATGAGGTAAGACCTGTGTGGTGGTCTTAGTAAACTGGGTGTTGAGTAACACTCTAAAAAGTTGAGCTTTTTAGAATCCTAGTTTTTTTAATCTAAAAAGTAGAAATGGTAAGATTGTCTTCTTTCTACCTAAAAGGGAGATGGTAAGGAAAAACTTTGTTTTTCCAAATTTTGTCATATAGACAGCTTTCACTGTACATTTTAATTAGGATAAAGTCTTTTTGTCTCCTCTAAAGACTGATACATTTTGTCTTAGGAGATAGAGCATGCTTTTTATACTGACTGAAAACTTCCTAGTTTCACATAGATTCTGCCACCCTAACAAACTTAGGCTATGAGAGATAGCCTAGCGTGAAAAGTTATATCATACATTAATTTGTATTGTTGTTAAGTCTTCATGGAAGATCTAGTGTTCCACTATATTCAGGCAAGGGAGGTCACCATATTTACATCCTGACTAAGGCCCTTTGCACTCTTGACCAGCCTTCAGAACATGTTATTTGCTTTCAGGAGATAGTTTGTAAATGTCCTAGATTTTTCTTATTTATTTTTGTCTCACTGTCCCTTCAAATTCTTTGTTAAGGAAACAGTATTAAATGTGTATTCATAATGCTCTCCACAACACTGAAAGAATTTGAAGATAAATGAATAACGGTCTCTCTACTCTCCTAACAGTCTCTGTTCTCTCTAGGAGTAGTCTAAAAGCTCAAACACTCCAGAACTGGTGGTCTGAGTGTTTTAAATTTCCTTAAAGTTCTGTTTGGCATAGAAAGTATTGTTAACTAGATGGAAGGTGTTTACCATTGCTTTGCATAGATCCTTTGTGCTGCAGTTTTTATAAAGCTGTTAGCTCTGCCCCGAACAACTTCAGTCACAGCCATGCTTCGATGGGGTGTGTACCTTTTCCCTTGGATCTTTGGGGGACTCTTTTTTTCCTAAGCATATATGTGTTTTAGGAGAAAGGGGGGGAGTGAAACTTGCCACCTCCCTTTCTTTAATGAATGAGAACTCTGTCCGCATTTTGACCTGGGGCTTTAGGTGGTGGCAAGGAAGAAGTAGCCTAACCTTTGGCCATAATCTCACAGTTGTCCATTGCTTAGCAGCACATTTGAAGTGGCATACTGCCTTTCCTTTCTTTAGCCGTAAAGTTCTTTCTGCCCAAAACTATCCTCCTTTCTTCCTAAGTGGACAACTGAAACCTTGCAGGTAGTCACCCTAGTGGGAGTCTACCTTCGCTTCTTTGAATGATCATGATCCAGATGCCTTAAGAGATCAAAGCACATTGTGATGTTGGTACAGTGTTCTCCTCCCAAGTTTAACAAGAATGATTGTATAACTTGCTTTTGAACATGCTTGCTCTTTTGTCAGGCTGTTATCAATTGTGAATTCACAAATATGATGCTGTGGAGTCACTTTGCTTACCTTTATAAGAGGTTGATATGGGGTAAGCAGACTTACTGGAAGTTATTTTATTGCTCTAAATCATGGAATCACTTCATGGCAAATAGATGGGGAAACAGTGGAGACAGACTTTATTTTGGGGGGCTCCAAAATCACTGCAGATGGTGACTGCAGCCATGAAATTAAGACACTTACTCCTTGGAAGAAAAGTTACGGACAACATAGACAGCATATTAAAAAGCAGAGACATTACTTTGCCAACAAAGGTCCGTCTAGTTAAGGCTATGGTTTTTCCAGTAGTCATGTATGGATGTGAGAGTTGGACCATCAAGAAAGCTGAGCGCCGAGGAATTGATGCTTTTGAACTGTGGTGTTGGAAAAGACTCTTGTGAGTCCCTTGGACTGCAAGGAGATCAAGCCAGTCCATCCTAAAGGAAATCAGTCCTGAATATTCATTAGAAGGACTGATGCTGAAACTCCAATACTTTAGCTACCTGATGAGAATAACTGACTCATTTGAAAAGACCCTGATGCTGGGAAAGACTGAAGACGGGAGGAGAAGGGGATGACAGAGGATGAGATGGTTGGATGGCATCACCGACTCAATGGACATGAGTTTGGGTAAACTCCAGGAGTTGGCAATGGACAGGGAGGCCTGGCGTGCTGAGGCCCATGGGGCTGCAAAGAGTCGGACACGACTGAGAGACTGAAACCATGGGATTGAGTGCCACTCGGATTTCTCTATCACTGTATAAGCTAGCCTCCCATCTAGTGTGATCACTTCTTTAAAATGGAGTCTTGGTTTTATTAATAAACTGCAAGGAGATCCAACCAGTCCATCCTAAAGGAGATCAGTCCTGGATGTTCATTGGAAGGACTGATGTTGAAGATGAAACTCCAATACTTTGGCCACCTGATGTGAAGAGCTGACTCATTTGAAAAGACCCTGATGTTGGGAAAGACTGAGGGCAGGAGGACAAGGGGATGATAGAGGATGAGATGGCTGGATGGCATCACCGACTCAATGGACATGGGTTTGGGTGGACTCCGGGAGTTGGTGATGGACAGGGAGGCCTGGCGTGCTGTGGTTCATTGGGTCACAAAGAGTTGGATACAACTGAGCGACTGAACTGAACTGAAGTGAAAGATGCCATCAAAAAACCACAAACTATTAGAACTACTAAATGAATTCAGTAACACTGTAGCATACAAGTTAATATATAGGAATCTGTTGCATAGATTTCTACATCTGGTAACAAACTCAAGATTTTTTTAAAAATTCCATTTACTCTTGCATCAAAAAGAATAAAATACCTAGGAATTAATCAAACCAAGGATATAAAAGATCTCTACTTAGAAAAGTATAAGATAATGATGAAAGAAATTGAAGATGATACAAGCAAATAGAATGGCGTACCATGCTCATAGATTGGAAGAATTAATGTCAAAATAACCATACTACCCAGAGCAATCTACAGATTCAGTGCAATCCCTATCAAATACCAATGGCATTTTGTCTAATTTTCAGAGAATCAGACAAATAATTTTAAAATCTATATGGTAACACAAAAGACCTCAAATAGCCAAAATTATTTTGGAAAGAACAAGGCTGGAGAAGGCATTATGCTCTCTGATTTCAAACCACACTACAAAGCTACAGTGATAGAAAGTTTTATGGTACTGGAACAAAATAAGGAAGCCCAGAAGTGACCTCTTATTTCTATGGTCAATTTATAGCAAAGGAAGCAATATACTGTGGGGAAAAGACAGCCTCTTCAAAAAATGGTGGTGGGAAAACAGGACCCCTACATGCAAAATAATTAAACTGCACTACCTTCTCATACCATATACCAACATCAACTCAAAATGGATTCAAAGTTTAATAACACCTGAAACCATAAAACCCCTAGAAGAAAACATAGGTAGTGTATTAACATTATTCTTTCAAATATCTTTTGGTGGGGATATATGTCCTCAGACAAGAGAAACAAAAGTAAACATAAGTGTGACTACACCAAACTAAAAAGCTTTGGCACAGCAAAGGAAACTATTAACAAAATGAAAATTTCTACTGAATTGTGAGAAAATGTATGCTAACTGTAGCAAAAGATGGTGGAGTAGAAGGATGTGTACTCACCTCCTGTGAAAAATCACAACTAGCTGCTGAACAACCATCGAAAGGAGGATCTTGGAACCCACCAAAAAAAGATGCCCCATGTCCAAGAACAAAGGCAGGAGGGGTGCAATCACATTTAAAATCAAACCTCCTACTTGCCAGACTCTTGGAGGGCACAAAGAAAGCGTTGTGTGCACCAGGACCAGGGAAAGGAGTGGTGACCGTCACAAGAGACTGGGTCAGACCTGCAGAGTCTGAGGGTCTCCTGTGGAGGCCGGGTCAGCGGTGGCCTGCCGCGGGGGCGGGGGCACTGATGGCGGGAGCCCTGGGAGGAGGCGTGGTGTGGGGCAGAAGTCCTCTTGGGGGAAGGCGCTGGGACGATCCACAAACAGGAGATCAATTATACCAAAGACGTTCCCGCACTGCTGTGCAAGTCCTAGGCCCCACAAGACTTCCCAACCTGGGGTCTGGCGAAAGGAATGGGAATCCCCCGGGAATTTGGCTTTGCAGTTCAGCTGGATTTGATCGAACAACTTCTATAGGCCTGGAGAACAGAGACTGTTGGAGGGCACAGACAAAACCACGTGCACACGAGAATCCAAGAGAAAGGAACCGTGACCCAGTAAGAGACTGAGTCAGACTTGCCTGTGTGTTTGGGAGGTCTGGAGCAGGCGTGGGTCGGCGACGGCCTGCCGCGGGGTCTGGGCACTGGCAGCTGCGGTCCCGGGAGGCGAGGAGTGCCGGCCTAAATTCTCTTGAAGGAGGTCACCATCACCCCTGGACGGAGCCCATAGCCTGCCACAGCGACTGCGAGCTCCAGGACTGGGCTGCCTCAGGCCAAACTACAGGCAGCACGGCCCCACCCATCACAGAAAACCGGATTAAAGACCTACTGAGCACGGCCCCGCCTACCAGAGCAAGACCCAGGTTTCCCGATTGCTCTGATGTGCAGGGCCGGGCTCAGGAGACGTGCATTTCCATTCACCCCATTAGATCTTACTTCCACAGATCCTAGGTCTTCCTTCTCAATTTCTGAATTAAGTTTTTATTTATTTTCGTTAAATGCTGTCATTTTCCTCAATACTCAATTGGATTTTAAATAAGGAATTAGAAAAACAATTTAGAATTTTCATTTCTGAAATTTCTTTCCTTCATGTAGGTATGTTTCACCAGATATCACATGCCTTCAATGTGAATAACTTCCTTTAACATTTCTTTTGTGCATATTTCCTGGTGTCAACTTTTTTGTTTTCATTATAGAATTTTAGCTTGACATTTTTTTTTCTCTTCAGCATTTTAAAGACATTGCTCTACTGTATTCTTGATTTATGTTGTCCTAGTTAAGTTGTTCATTCTTTCCATTGTTCAGTTATGTGTCAAAATCTTGACTGCTTTTTAAAATTTTTCATCTTTTTAGCAATTGATTGTCATCTTAATATGTATTGTTTGCAGTTCGAATTTCTTGATGGATGTGTGGGTTGCTTTTTATTTTTTAAATCAAGTTTGTAAAATTTTTAACCTTTATTTCCCCACATATATTTTCCTGTTCCAGTCACTCTTGATTTCCTCTGGATCCAACTATACATGTTAGACCACTTGTTATTTAGCTCATATGTCAGTTTTTTAAAATTCCTTTTATCTCTTCTTCAGTTTGAACAGTTCCAATTAAACTGTCAAGTTCATTGACCTTTACTCCTATAGTGTCTTGTGTATTTTTATGCCCATGTAGTAAATCTTTCATTTCAGAGTATATTTTCTAGCTGTAGAAGATGTGGGGTTTTTGTTATTGTTCTCAGACTCACTTAAGAATTAAATATTCTTTAATATTTGAACACTTATATAGTAGCTTTTAAAGTGTTTCTGCTATTTGTAATATCCATGTCAACTCTAGATCTGTTTTGATGACTTGTTTTTTCCCTCTGCTCCTGGTCACGTCTTCTTGCCTTCACACCTGATTTTTTATTGCATGTTGTACACTGCGGATGCTGTAATGCTGCCGAGGACCTGGATTCTGTTGTCTTTAGAGCGTCAGGTTCTGTGGCAGCAGTTAATTAACTTACTGGCACATTTAGTGTGATCTTCTTGAGGACTGGTTTTAGGGTAATGCTGATTTATAGTAACTATTTAAAAGGCTTGGCCAGTTTGGGGTCTCAACTGAATGTCAATGTCTGGCCTTTATTTAACTTTTACAAAAGTAAAGTCAAAAGTTCACATACTCAGACTGCTTAAAACAGAGAGCTATGACTAAATCTTATTTTTATTGTATTATTTCCAAAACTCCAAAGAGATTCTGCTTTTTAATCATTCTTTCAAGAGCTAGACTTTTGAGGAATGAAGGAGATGTCCGTATCACAGTATGACTAGTCAAAATATTTAGTGCTTTCCTCTCTCCCTGAATTAAGTAGTTGATACTGATGGATAGATTTAAAATAATGGGACAAATTCATCAAGAGTATATTACAACAGAGAAAACACTTTGATGTTACACACAACACAGGGCAGCTAGGTTTGAGGGAGAATTGAGAAATGGGAGGTTACTGAAAATGAAATTCTTAACCAGGTTTATTAAGGCCCTGTTGAAGTTTTATTTTCCCTGAAATCTTTCTTCTTTTTTGGTGAATATTCTCATTGTAAAAATGCTACTGAATGGTTGAAAGGGACTCCTCCTGCCAGAGGAGTCTGGCAGGCTACAGTCCATGTGGTCGCAAAAGAGTTGGACACAACTTGGCAACAACAAGAAATCATCTTCATAACAAACTCATTTTCAATTTAGAAGCAAAGAAAAGCATCCTATCAACTCATTCAGAGATCAAAAGAACAAACAAGAAAGTGCTCAATCAAGTGCCCCAAAGGATGTCATACCATATCAACAGGTGTGAAATTAATTTGAAAAAGTTATGATGATAAAAACTGGTACATCATTTCCAAAATCAAGCTAATCAGACATGACATCAAGAGAATAAGAATTCATCTAAAACAACTAGTTGTAGATGTCTCTTCCAAACAATATTTTAAGGTGAATTAATAATTTTTAGTAAATTCTTAATAATAAATCTATAAGCACATGGACAGATAAATATTGACTTCTAGTCCATTATGCCAAATAAATAGAAATAGACTTTCAATAAACACATTCCAGGTGAAATAAATTTAACCAAAAAGACAAAAAAGAAAGAGAGATAGAAAGACTGGGAAATTCAATTTGCCACAGAGAACTTTGTAACACTTCTTTGTCTAACACAAAATGTCTAGAGATTTGTATGAAAATACAGACATTAAGCACACCTAGGTACAAACCAAGACAGAACACATACTTCAATAAATAACCATAGGATTAAATGCTATGTCATCTCCAATGAAGCATTTCAAAGTAACCATCTTGAGAATAGGAAAGGCAGATTTTAACCTATATTTTAACCTTTAATAATTCTGACAATACTCAAAAAGTACTGTGATATTAAAAGTACTTACACCCAAACATCTTTAAGTTTCAGTGACGGAAATTAACTCAGTGTTCACACAGAAATAAGTAGTTCCATTCAAAATTTATTGAACTGCAAATTCGTTTAACGGTTATGCTCATTAACTAGAGAATATAGCTCCAGAAACAACCCTGGCAGGTTCCTGAATATATGCCAACATTATTAGATGGTTTATTAGAAGCTGAGAATATGAATTGCCTGTCAAGGTCTCAACAAAAAAAAAAAATTTAAATCCCATCATATTTGTCAATAAGTTAGACTTACACAATTGATAATTTCAAAATAAATAAAACCTGAGTTGATTGTGTCCTCTATTTCCACCCACCCTCAGCATATATACATTTACACCCCATTTCCTGTTAGACCAGTGTCTATCAGACTTTAATAAGCATACGTATTTGAGGATCTTAATAAGATGCAGTTTCTGATTCAGTAAGTCTGCTACACAGCCTGTGAGGCTACCTTTCTAGCAAGCCACAAATGGAGCGGACGCTGCCTCTGAACCACCCTTTGGGCAGCACAGTGACTCAATACATAAAGGGAGGCACAGCTCTGGCCTAATGACTGCGGTTTTATAGATTCAATGCTGTTATATTTTGGAATCAAACATAAATAACCAACAGTGATCACAAAAAAGTTAAGTCTTAGAAGAAAAGAATGTTTCAGTTAAATGAGAACTTAAGTATATTGGCAGTGTTTCTATTTGTCTGACAATTGACACCTTTGATACATTACAATGTAATCAGGACAAAAAATTCTAGTTAACTTTAAAAAATAGTTACTATCACTTGAGGCTCTCCTAGTTAATTCAAGTTCAGAAAATTCAAGCCAGTACACTGTAAAATCTCTATTAAAAATCTTTAATGGTAAAGTGTCCATATAAATTACTTGTAAACCTGCTCTACACCATGCCATCTCCTCCTCTTTCAACGAATAAATGCTTTTTTTTCTTCTGTCTTATAGCTAAACAGCGTGTAACACCCAGTGCCCCTCCCTTTAAAAACCGAACAAAATTGTCTCCAACCAATGGACCCAACGCAAAAAGGTTGGCTTCTTTAACACACTCATAGGTATACGCATCTATTTCCACAGGATTACCCTTACATGTGATTGGCAGGCTTGAGTTATGGCCCAGGTAACGCCCTTGCTCCTTCAGGAAGGACAGATTGGGATGAGAGCCTATCAACACTACTGCTGCAGAGAGCTTAAATATTTTTTTCAGTCCAGAGATATTCTGAAGAATGCATTTCATGTCTGACTTAAAGGCAAGCACATGGTGCTCAGGAAAACTAGTATAATCAGATAAAAGATTTGAGTCTAAAGAATATGACTGAGTACACATCATATGATAGACTTTATGGTATTCTGGGTAAAGCTTTTTGGGAAGCTGCTTGAAAATTAAATCTGGATCAGTTACTCGTCTGCGAAATACATGAATCACAGGGATATTATTGTTGTAAGCACACAGTACCGCATCGGCTGCGGTAAGCCCAGAACCTACAATTAACACTGGGTCCACTTTGCCACGCAACTTTCCTTTGCTTACAGCAGCTCCAAATTCAGGCATTGAATGAAACACAAAAGGAAAATCTTCCCCTTCGATTTCCAGGCGGCCAGGAGAGTCTAATGTTCCAGTTGCCAGGGCTACATTTTCAGCAAAGAGACAGAAGGGAATATGAGAACCATCTCCTACTCGTTGATAACCCCTGATTTCCCAGTTTCTCTTGGTAAATTTTGACTTCTCTATCTGTAAATGCTGTGTTGAGACATTTCTGCCTTGACCATCATTATTAACTTGATCTCTGTAGAGTCTTGATACAGAGGTAATATAAGTGTTCTCTCTGAAGTTCTTCTGAAGACCCATGACTTTGACATAGTGTTTATAGTAGCGAGCTATTTCCTCTGGCATAACTCGATCCCCTTTTAGGTTCCTATGAAAAGAAAAGGAAAAACATTCTAAGAGGATAATACTTTTAGTTTCCATGATTACTACTTCTCCATCTAGTCAACTATTATCTTTTTATTTCTCTGGATTGTGTAAGCTAAGCTAACTCTTACCCTAACACTTCACAAAGAAAGTAAGCCTTTCCTTTTCTTTAAAAATGTTAATAAATTAAGGGCTGTCCCTGGTGGTCCAGTGGATAGGAATCCGCCTGCCGATGCAGGGGATGCGGGCTTGATCCCTGGTCCAGGAAGATTCCACATGCCACGGAGCAACTGAGACCGTGTGCCACAACTGCTGAGACCATGCTCCGGAGCCCACGACCCACAACTCCCGAGCCCACGACCCACAACTCCTGAGCCCACGGGCCACACTGCTGAGACCACGCTCCCGAGCCCACGACCCACAACTCCCGAGCCCACGGGCCACACCGCTGAGACCACGCTCCCGAGCCCACGACCCACAACTCCCGAGCCCACGGGCCACACCGCTGAGACCACGCTCCGGAGCCCATGACCCACAACTCCCGAGCCCACGGGCCACGCCGCTGAGACCACGCTCCCGAGCCCACGGGCTACAACTACTGAAGCCTGTGCTCCACAGCAAGAGAAGCTGACGCTCTGCAGCTCAGAGCAGCCCCCTTGCTCACAGCACTAGAGAAAGCCTGTGGGCAGCAAAGACAACCCAGTGCCACCAAAAATAAATTTTTAAAGTGCTAATAATTTATTTTTATCAACAGAGTAAGTCCCATGAGCGTAGAAACTGTAGTTAAGGCATCTTTGTTTCCCCAGTGCTTCGTCTAAGTATCTGTTCAGGTTAGCCGTCTTTGTCAATAAACTTCTGTTAAATAAATGGATTAAAATGTGGTTATCTGAAAATCAGACTATTTTACTCTATCTCACAATTGTAATCTAAATAATTCAGTCTACAGCTATACTATCAGTCTGTGTTCTACACAACTGTAGACTGAATTAGATTATATCCATCGAGATACTACAGGTCTGACTATACGTACTTCTTAAAGATAATATTTAGATACACTTTTTAATAAGTTGCTTTTTACTTTCATAATGACCAAAAATAATACAGATCCCTTTTGCTGAACAAAATCATCCTACATTTAAGTAGATAACATTTCTCTCTGTATTTTCCTATTCGTTTATTATTCATTCACCCAGTGGTGTCTGACTCTCTGCAACCCCATGGACTGCAGCACGCCAGGCCTCCTTGTCCTTCACCATCTCCCGAGGTTTGCCCAAGTTCAAGTCCACTGCATTGGTGATGCCGTCCAGCCATCTCATCCTCTGATGCCCTCTTCTCCTTCTGCCCTCAATCTTTCCCAGCAACAGGGGCTTTTCCAAAGATTTGGCTGTTTGCATCAAGTGACCAAAATACTGGAGCTTTAGCTTCAGCATCAGTCCTTCCAATGAGTAGTCAGGGTTGATTTCCTTTAAGACTGGCTGGCTTGATCTCCTTGCTGTCCAAGGGACACTCAGGAGTCTTCTCCAGCACCACAGTTCAAACGCATCAATTCTTCAGTGCTCCCCCTTCCTTACGGTCCAGCTCTCACAACCGTATGTGACCACTAGGAAGACCAGAGCCTTCGACCACACGGACCCTTGTTGGCAGAGTAATGTCTCTGGTTTTCAATACATCATCTAGGTTTGCCATAGCTTTCCTGAAAAGAAGCAATCGTCTTCTGATTTCATGGCTACAGTCACCATCTGCAGTGATTTTAGAGCCCAAGAAGAGGAAATCTGTCACGACTTCCACCTTCTCCCCTTCTGAAGTAATGGGGCCAGATGCTATAATCTGTTTTCATAACACTTAGTTTTAAGCCGGCTTTTTCACTCCTCCTTCACCCTCATCAAGAGACTCTTTAGTTCTTCTTCACTTTCTGCAATTACAGTGGTATCATCTGCATATCTAAGGCTGTTGATGCTTCTCCCGCTTATCTTGATTCCAGCTTGTAACTCATCCAGCCCGGCATTTCTCATGATGTGCTCAGCGTATCGGTTAAACAAACAGGGTGACAGCAGACAGCCCTGTCTTATTCCTTTCTCAATCTTGAACCAATCAGTTGTTCCAAACAGGGTTAACTGTTGCTTATTGATCTGCATACAGGTTTCTCAGGAGACAGGTAAGATGGTCTGGTATCCCCATCTCTTTAAGAGCTTTCCACAGTTTGTTATGATCCACACAGTCAAAGACTTCAGCATAGTGGATGAAACAGACATAAATGTTTTTCTGGAATTTCCTTGCTTTTTTTTAATGATCCAGCAAATGTTGCCAATCTGATCTCTGGTTCTTCTTCTTTTTCTAAACCCAGCTTGGACATCTGGATGTTCTTGGTTCACATAATGCTGAAGCCCAGCATGCAAGATTTTAAGTGTAACCTTACTAGCATGACAGATGAGTGCAACTGTCCAATGGCTGGCACATGCTTTAGCACTGCCCGTTTTGGGAACTGGGATGAGGATTGATCTCTTCCAGCCTGTGGTCACCGCTGGGTCTTCGAGGTTTGCTGACGCATTGAAAGCAACACCTTGACGGCTCTGTCCTTTAGGGTTCTGAAGAGCTCTGCTGGAATTCCATGACATTCTTCCCACTCATAGGAGATCTAGAAATATAATCTTCACTTTATGGAAAAAAGCACATTAATACCTCTTTTATTTTCCACTTGAACTGTAAAGCAATGGGCATTAGTATCCATAACCACTGCCCCAATGAGAGGTAAGCAGCAGAAAAAAACACCAAATCAGGGAGTTCCCTGGTGTCCAGTGGCCAGGACTCTGCACTTTCACTGCCAAGAGCTTGGGTTCAGTCCCTGGTTGGAAAACTAAGATCCCACAAGCCACGTGGTAGGGCCAAAAAACAAAACAAAAACTGCCAATTCATTTCACACAATTCAACGTAACTTGTAACTGGAATAAGTAAAAAGTTTAATGACTACAGTAATTAAGAATGGTAATTAACTCTCAATTTTTATAGAAATCCTATGTAATAATTATAATTACCTCAATTTTGCAAACTAGGAAATTGATAGCTAATGAAATGATAGCTGTTTTAAGTTATTTGACCAGGGTCACAACATTAGAAGTTACAGAGTCAGAATTCAAACCCTGCAATTAATCTTGAGAGGTCTAAGACTCTTCTCAACACTATGCAAGAGCAGGAACTAAAGCTGATGTTTATCACAAGAGTCATTTTCACATGTTACTTAAACACAGCATGCTCAACTTAAAAGGACGAACACTTCTGGTATAAATCATAAAGCTTCTCCTTGTTAACCTGCATCATAAAGGGGAAAATATGTTGAGCAATTTCACTTTTTTATGAAAATCAAGAATTTATACAATTTGCCTGATTTTGCAATTTTACATTTCAAACTTACACAATAAAACTTCTGTTAAAAAAAAATCCCAAAGTAATATCTGAAAGGTTTAATTTCAATTACCCACGCCGGTGTAAATTTGCTCTCCTTAAATCTTCTCACATTAAGGATAACTACTGAAGATTAACATGGCTTCTACCTGGCAGGAAGTCAAGCATTTGAACATTACAGCCCCGTTTCAAAGGTTTTGTGTAACTTCCTGTTTCAATTTATTGTTTCTCAGTCAGAGTAGATGCTCTGTATTGGTAATTCCTATCTCTAGGAATGAAAATGGCTTGATAATGATAAGGCTTTTCATAATTTCTTTCTTTCAACTTTGAATTCTTTCTCCCAAATAAATATAAAATAAATTTGTATTCTTTCAAGTTGAGATTTTCATATTTTCTTTTCTCATACTTTACTATTCTTATTAAATATTTACCTCTATAGCTGAGTAGATGATCACATCATGGAATCTATTTTATCCCATCCTAAATTATTCATTATAGTTTTTCTGGTTTTTCTTCAGATTGTATGTGTCTTTTGCCTTTTTAAATTATTCATTATATATACTCTTCTACTCTGAAAATTCAATACTTTAGGTATCTGAGACATGCATTAAATGAAGTGATCCATTTATAAAACTGAGCAACTGAATACTTCAGGAATGTATACATAAGATATGTATATATGAAGATATACATATTCACTTATAAAAAAGGTTATACAAATCCATTCTTAAAAATAAGTAGACAAGTAAAGGATATGTAGGTGGACAAGAAAATAACTAAACAGTGAGTGGTTTAAGAGTAGACTGGGATAAAACGGTGGTAACAATCTCTAGACAAGCCCATACCTCTGTGTACTTACTGTTATAAAACCTCCAAACAGAACTAGCTCATAACCACTGCTATCAGGAGGTTTTATTTGAAAGATACAAACATCAGTATTATTCATCTAAGACAGCATCACAACTATTTTGAAATTTGCTGATAGACTCTTTCCCACTGTATATCAAAATTTTAATAGTTTGATCTTTACCTTCGTTTGCTAGATACCCAGTCTTTAAATTTAAGTCCAGGTAGCTCCATCCAATTTCCAAAGCTGATTGTCAACATTGAGCCTTCCATATTCTATTTGAATAAAAAATACATAAGCAAAAAACACATTTTATCAGTAGCATGGTCTTTTTTTTTTTTTAAACCAAACCCATCTCATTTACTCTAAGTCTGGATAAGGAGAGCTCAAAGAAGTCCTAAATGGTCTATAAATTACCTCTTGAAATTTATTCCAATCAACTTTCAAATACTTTCAATATTTGGTAGTGACTATACTCCACTCCAGTATTCTTGCCTGGAGAATCCCATGGACGGAGGAGCCTGGTGGGCTACAGTCCATGGGGTTGCAGAGTCGGATATGACTGAGCGACTTCACTTTTCACTTTATACTCCTTTCATATAGTTATACATTTATAAATCAGATTTACATTACCTGATGCCTACACAATGGTGATAGCTTTGGCCTATAAAACATAATTAGATGCAGAATACAGTGTTAGAGGAGCAAATCAGTTACTTTCACACTTTAAGCAAAAGGGAAAAAGTTAATTCCTAACACTTTAAGAACCCAGGGAAATAAGCAAGTGGTCCCGTCTGATTAAGAACAGACTCACTGCTGAAGCCAGAGCGGCCTTTAAGGAAGAGAGCCCTGCGAGCGTGCCCTACTTCCTTCTCTTTTGCTCAGCACACAGCAAGAAAAGCCCAAGGGCCAAAAGCGCCCTTCCCAACGACCTCCATGGTCTCTTTCAACCACCTCTTTTCAGCTGTGCTTTTTTTTTCCCTAATCTGAATCCTTCTTTCCCTGTTTCTATAGAGCCCAGTATTGGGAATGGGAGTCAATATTATTATTATTGGCTAACATTTATAGAGCACTTACTATGTACTATCGCTTATAAAGTCTTACTATTTGTGATAGTACAAAATCACCACAGGAAGACAAGGCATAAGGCTGCCACTGCTTTGAAGCACGCTGGGCCTGATATGAGGATAAGAACCAAGTTTCAGGTATATTTCACGTTATCACTGAGTCAAATACGCTTCCAGTAATCAAGGCTTATCCATAGTTTAACTTTCTGATATGTAAATGGGAGAAAAGAAAAGATGAATTATTGCCTACAGCACATTTTTCTAAGGAGAAAACAAACAAGTACAATAAAAACTTGGGAATTTACAGAAGGTAGCCTAAAACTTTAAAAATGTATCATGGCTGTTTCAATAAATGCAGTTTTATTAAGAATGCTATTTATTAACAAAGCAAACATAAACATGTAAAGCTAAAAGACATAGATATTTTGGTAGTTGCGATCTATTACCATAAAGGTAATTAAGATTTTTTAAAGTTAGTGATATATTTCATCTATAAATATTCCAAAACAGTTGTTTAATAAATGTAAACCTTCAGTCATATAACATTGCACTAATACAGGAATATCCAACTGAAATTTATACTCAAGATTTGATATTAAATGTTAAAATTCCCATGAAGTCTGTATTTCATAACATAGCAAATATTATTTAACATTTATTTGTACAACAAATGAGTATTTACCATATGCTAGACACTATACTAGCTGCTGCCTGCTAAGGAAACAGGCTGGCTCTTTGTGTTGCTCAGTTTGTGGTTTACCTTCTGCTATGGACTGAACTGTATCATCCCCTAAATCCACGTGCTGAAACCCTAATCCCACATGTGGTAGTATTTGGAGATGGGGCTTTTGGAAGGTAATTAGGGCTAGATGAGGTCATGGGCTGATGCCCTCACAACAGGATTAGTGACTTTACAAGAAGAGTTTACCCTCTCTTTGCCGCATGAGGATATGCAAGAGAGCAGCTGCCTGCAGGTGGGAAGGAGAGCCCTCAGCACAGACTGAGTCATTGGCACCACAGTCCTGGACTTTCCAACCGTCAAAGCGTGAGTGTGTTTTTAAGCCACTCACTCTATGGTATTTTTGTTTTAGCAGCCCAAGCAGATAAATACAATTTTTTTTCTTTTACAATACATTTTTCATTTAAGCTCTTGAAAATATAGGGAAATAATAGGTAGTAGTATGAAATACTGTGTGAGATTTTGTAAACTCTACAATAAGTAAACATTTTTTTTTTACTATGCAAAACATTCTTGAAATATTCTCTATATAATTCTTAGAGAAACACTTATTCTAAGACACTATCACTAATCAAATTTGGCTTGATTTCTACTATCAATTAACTTGGATTTCACTGAACACATTAAAATTCTCAGATAAAGATATGGTAATCATCATATATAACATTATAACATAATGTTTAAGAATCAAAATGGTCTTATCAAGATGTCATACAAAATAACTCACACTCACTAAAATGCTAAGAAAAATATACTCACATGCCAAGCTCCACCAGGTGGACCTTTACCAAGAACTAAGTGAGGGATATAATGATGCTGTTCTAATTTCCAATGCAAAACAGATGGGTAATCATACCCAAAGTCAGCATCTGGATGAAGAAGTGTGTCGAAAAGTACTGCAACTGGATTGGATGATCGACCCTCAAGGCCCTCAGACAAATACTCTAAGTCCTAAATAAGTTAAAAAAGAAAAAGAAAAAAAGACATAAAGAAAAAAGGCAGATAGAGTTTGGAAAAAACAAAAAAACTCCAGCCAACATAATAGAGAAAACCATTACTCTAATCCAGCATTTTACAGACAGTACAACAAAACACTGATGTTCCTTAGAGATCTTAACAGATTCTCAGGTCAAATAAACATGGGAAATGGTTGGTTTCAAAAAGCTAGTCAGATCGTTTTACTACAAAATTTGAAGATGGCTTTAATATGGCAGTATGCCTTAATATATCTACCCTGACACTCTAGTAATAAAAAGCAGTATTTCCAAAACTTATCTGAGCATAAAGCACCTACTAAACTCCATCAGGGTATAATTTGGGAAATTCTGCTCTAATTAATTCAAGAAAATAAATGGAAGTTAACTCAGCAAAATATATTTACAAATCTAAAATTAAAATGTTAAAAAGTGTTATTTAAAAGGAAAGGTTTTCAGCTAAGAAATGCAATGCTCATGGAGCAGAAAATTAACTTTGTCTCAGTATAAAAAGTTGAAAAGGACTGACATGTAAAAAATAATACCTGATCAACAATGGAAAGATGTCTTGCTTCCTCTAATTTACTATGTAAGATTGTATTTGGATGGATTGCTTCTGATGATAAATACGGTCTGTAGCCTGACAGCATATAAGAAAGGCAGATTCCTGAGGGTCCATTTCCTATTTTTAAAAAAGTGGAGAGGGGTGTATCATTAATCTTAATACATTCTTTGGCTTTTCCATTCCATAGATGGCTTTTCTCCTCCATCAGTTCTTCCATCCCTAAATTCTTAAAACCAAGTATTCACAAGAGAAGACTTTTACTTTCTCTCCTGTTTTCTTCAGGGAATCTCACCTACTCAAAACTCCAACTCTCTATGCTACTAACCTCAAAATTAGACTTCTAGGCTGACCTCTATCAAAATATATCCCATATTTCCATATGCCACTTCTTCACTCCAGCTGACTGAACGACTAATAACTGTGTTCAAAAGCAAATTCTTGATGTCCTCCATTTTTGGTGCCCTCTCCTTTAAACCTCATTGCTCCTAATATACTTACTAGCAAAATCCTAAGTTAACTAGATTATAGTTCTAAACCTCTTTTGTCACCTATATCCACTCAGCTGTTGTAGCTATTATCATTCATATAGTCTCACTCAGAAGACAGAAATCTCTTCTTGTTCAAGGTTCACCCACTCCAAATCATTTCACATTTTACATTCAAATGACTTTTTCTAACACAGTCTTCATATTAACCAATCTCTTCTAAAGCCCATCACTGTTTGTTTCTGACTATCTCCACATTCTGCTCTCAACTGTCTTCTAAGCCCCACCTCCTAACACCTTCCCTCCTGTATATATATCTCCTTTACCTAAAACAAAACTGGAAACTGGCTTTTTTTGTGGAACCCTATTAAACTAATTTGATTTCTATAGCTCCTCTAGTCTGGATTGCCACTTCTCTATTATCTCCATCTACCAAAAATTGAATCCACCTGGGACAACTTTTACCCATCAGAGAAAATTCTGATCCTTGCCTAATATTTTGCCCCAAATAAAAATACTGAGGAAAAGGGCTGATTTCCTTGAATGAAATGAAAGACAAAACTAAAAAAGTAAAAGCATGATAACACCAATAGTACAGAGACAGCATTTGACAAAAGCCAACACCTGTTCATGCAGAAACTCGCAACGAGCAACAAAGGGGAACTCCACGTGTTGAAGCGCGTCAGCCAAGATCCAATGGCCAACAGCACACTTAACGGCGAGAATTCAGGGGTTTGGTTTGTTTTCCCTATAAGATCAAGGCAAGCATGTCTTTTCTCATCATTCCTACTCAACACATCCCATAAAGAAAATCCTAGCTAATGCACTAAGACCAGAAAAGGAAATTAAGACCAGAAAGGTACTCAGATTGGGAAGGAAGAAACAAAACTGTGTTTGTAAATGTGGTAATTATACAGAAAGTCCAAAAGAATTTACCAAAAAACTCCTGGAAGTAACAAGCTTACAGTGAGGTTGAATGATACAGTCAGTCACGTCAGTCGCTCAGTCGTGTCCAACTCTTTGTGACCGACCCCATGGACTGCAGCACACCAGGCCTCTCTGTCCATCACCAACTCCCAGAGCTTGCTCAAACTCATGTCCATCGAGTGGGTAATGCCATCCAACCATCTCATTCTCTGTCATCCCCTTCTCCTCTTGCCGTCGATCTTTCCCAGCATTGGAGTCTTTTCTAATGAGTCAGCTCTTTGCATCAGGAGGCCAAAGTATTGGAGTTTCAGCTTCAGCATCAGTCTTCCAATGAATAATCAGGGTTGATTTCCTTTAGGATTGACTAGTTTGATTTAGGTCATACCTGAATGGCCTAGTGGTTTTCCCTAAGTTCTTCAAATTAAGTCTGAATTTTGCAATAAGGAGTATATGATCTGAACCACAGTCAACTCCCAGTCTTATTTTTGCTGACAGTATAGAGCTTTTCCATCTTCGACTACAAAAAAAATAATCGATCTGATTTTGTACTGACCTTCTGGTGATATAGTCATCTCCTGTATTGTTGGAAGAGAATGTTTGCTATGATCACCACGTTAGACCTAATATAAAATACTAAATCATAAAACTTTTGGAAGATAACACAGGAGAAAATTTAGGTGACCTTGGGATTGGTAATGAGTTTTTAGATGTTTAACACCAAAAGCAAGATCTATGAAGGAAAAAACCGATATGCAGTACTTCATTAAAGTTTAAAATTTCTGCTCTGCCAAGTCACTAAGAAATGAAAAGACAAGCCACAGACTGGGAGAAAATATTTACAGAGCATATATGTGATAAAGCATTTGTCTTCCAACAACATAACAGACAACTATACACGTGGACATCACCAGAGTCAATATCGAAATCAGACTGATTATATTCTTTGCAGCCAAAGATAGAGAAGCTCTATACAGTCAGCAAAATCTGTGGAGCTGACTGTGGCTGAGATCATAAACTCCTTATTGCCAATTCAGACTTAAATTGAAGAAAGGGAAAACCACTAGGCCATTCAGGTATAACCTATATCAAATCCCTTATGATTATACAGTGGAAATGACAAATAGATTTAAGGGATTAGATCTGATAGAATGCCTGAAGAACTACGGATGGAGGTTGGTAATGTTGTACAGAGGGTGGTGATCAAACCATCCCCAAGAAAAAGAAATGCAAAAAGGCAAAACTGAGGAGGCCTTACACACAGCTGAGAAACAAAGAACCGAAAGGCAAAGGAGAAAAGGAAAGATATATCCATCTGAAAGCAGAGTTCCAAAGAATAGCAAGTAGAGGTAAGAAAGCCTTCCTCAGCGATCAATGCGAAGAGATAGAGGAAAAATGACAGAATGGGGAAGACTAGAGATCTCTTCAAGAAAATTAGAGATACCAAGGGAACATTTCATGCAAAGATGGGCACATAAATGGACAGAAATGGTATGGATGTAACAAAATGTATTAAGAAACAAAAGATATTAAGAAGAGGTGACAGGAATACACAGAAGAATTATACAAAAAAGATCTTAATGACCCGGTGTTACCACACACGATGGTGTGATCACTCACCTAGAGCCAGACATCCTGGAGTGGGAAGTCAAGTGGGCCTTAGGAAGCACTACTACAAACATAGCTAGTGGAGGTGATGGAATTCCAGCTGAGCTATTTCAGATTCTAAAAGATGATGCTGTTGAAGTGCTGCACTCAACATGCCAGCAAATTTGGAAAACCCAGCAGTGGCCACAGGACTGGAAAAGGTCAGTTTTCATTCCAATCCCAAAGAAGAGTAATGCCAGATAATGTTCAAATTACCACAGAATTTTACTCATTTCACATGCTAGCAAGGTAATGCTCAAAATTCTTTAAGCTAGGCTTCAACAGTATGTGAACAGAGAACTTCTGATATACAAGCTGGATTTAGAAAAGGCAGAGAAAAGAGATCAAAATGCCAATATCCGTTGGATCATCAAAAGCAAGGAAATTCCAGAAAAAACACCTGCTTTCTTGATTACACTAAAGCCTCTGACTGTGTGGACCACAACAAACTGGAAAATTCTTAAAGAAATGGGAGTACCAGACCACCTAACCTGCCTCCTGTGAAACCTGTATGTAGGTCAAAAAGCAACAGTCAGAAGTAGACATGGAACAAAGGACTGCTTCCAAATTGGGAAAGGAGTACATCAAGGCTGTCTATTGTCATGATGCTTATTTAACTTATATGGAGAGTACATCATTCGAAATACCAGGCAGGATGAAGCTCAAGTGGGAATTGATACTGCTGGGAGAAATTACCAGTAACTTCAGATATGCAGATGACACCACTAATGGAGAAAGCAAAGAGGAACTAAAGGGCCTCCTGAGGAAGGTGAAAGAGGAGAGTAAAAAACCTGGCTTAAAACTCAACATTCAAAAAACGAAGATCATGGCATCTTGGCCCATAACTTCATGGCAAAGAGATTGGGGAAAAATGGAAACAGTTTTGGACTTATTTTCTTGGGCTCCAAAATCACTGTGGAAGTTGACTGCAGCTATTAAATGAAAAGATGGTTGCTCCTTGAAAGAAAAGCTATGACCGACATAGACAGCATATTAAAAAGCAAAGACATAACTTTGCCAAAAAAGGTCCATATAGTCAAAGCTATGGTTTTTCCAGTAGTCATGTATGGATGTGAGAGCTGGACTATAAAGAAAGCTGAATGCCAAAGAACTGATGCTTTCAAACCATGGTGTTGGAGAAGACTCTAGAGAGTTCCTTGGACTGAAAGGAGATCAAACTAGTCAATCCTAAAGGAAATCAACCCTGAATACTCATTGAAAGGACTGATCCTGAAGCTGAAGCTCCAATAACTCTGGCCACCTAATGCAAAAAACTGACTCATTTGAAAAGACCCTGATGCTGGGAAAGATTGAAGGCGGGAGGAGAAGGGGACAACAAAGGATGAGATGGTGGGATGGTATCACTGACTCGATGGACCTGAGTTTGAGTACACTCTGGGAGTTGATGATGGACAGGGAAGCCTGGCGTGCTGCGGTCCGTGGGGTCACGAAGAGTCAGACACGACTGAGCGACTGAACTGAACTGAGTATCTGAGACAAAGAATTAAAAAGAAGTAACACTCAAAAGACTACACAAAAAGAACACAAACAAGCCTTTCATAGAGAAATATACACGCAAGCAGAATGCACCTCAAGTCCCAAAGATTTTCCATTCTTGACGCCAAGAACCTGAGTGTGTTATGTTACAGAGAAAAAGGACTTTGTAAATGTGATTAAAGTAAGGACCATGAGCTGGGGCAGAGTACCCTGGATTATCCAAGTGGGCGCAAACTAATCACCCAAGTCCTTAGAAACAAAGACCCTTTCCCACCTGTGGTGAGGAGGAACCATAACTACGAAAGGTTAAAAGGAAAACAGCAGTGCTAGCTTTGAAGATGTACAAGTGGTTCAGGAGCCAAGGAGTACCAGTGGCCTCTAGAAACTGGAAAAGCAAGGAAACATGCTATCTACCCTAGAGCCTCCAAAAGGAACGCAGCCCAGCTGCCACCTTGATTTTAGTCCAGTGAGACCAGTGTTGGACTTCCATTCTATAGAGCAGTCAGATAACACATTTATGTTATAAAAGCCACCAGGTTCGTGGTGATTTGTTATGTTAACAATAGGAAATCAATTACATATATTAAGGAAATTAGCCCATTATGGTGCTAGTGCCAGCAATAATGGCCCTATCATACATGAGGTTAAGTCACTCTTTGGCTAGCTAAGGCAAAACAGGAACAAATTGTTTTGGGGGACATGAGGTGGGTGAGTAGGTACAGATGAAAGGAGCTTTTCCCTTTGTAACCCTGCTATGGCCTACCAGAAGAAGACAGGCTTCCTTTACCTACTGCAAGACATCCATAGTGGAAAACCAGGTTTGGACACACGTGGGAAATGGAGCACGACGTTTGGTTTCCAGCATGGGACTGCTGCAGATGCTCTATCAGCTCCCTTACAGGAGAATCTAGTCCAGAACTACCTTGCTTCCCCTCTTTCCTTCATTTATTACATCTCCTGGGGAGAGATGTCCACATGCCAGACAGAGGGCAGAACTTTCCACTGCATTAACTTTGAAACAGGCCATCAAAGAAACTAAGGATGTTGTATGCCATCAAGGTCCATCATGTCCCGTAATTCTTTCCTTTGGCTTGGCTTCACACCAGATTACTTGTCCACATTAACAAGTCCCTCCAACGGCTGAGCAGGTAAAGAATTTGCCTGCAGTGCAGGAGACGTGGGTTCGATTCGTGGGTCAGAAAGAGCCCCTGGAGAAGGAAATGGCAACCCACTCCAGTCTTCTTGCCTGGAGAAACCCATGGACAGAGAGGAGCCTGGTGGGCTATAGACCATGGGGTTGCAAAGAGCTGCTGATGACTGAGTGACTAAACATACAACATACATACTGGGTTTGCCAAAAATTTTGTTCAGGTGTTTTTGCATCATCTTCTGGAAAATTCTGATTGAACTTTTTGGTGAACCTAATACACAACAGGTAATTAAATATATGCAATAAAACAAAATCATAAAATTATATAATTCTGAAGTAATCAAGTTTTGTTAATAGCTTAATTTCTAACATCTTAAATACCTATGTATTGAGGTGGATGGATATATAATAGTAACAGGTGGTTAAAACACTATAAACCTAACTGTAGAATACTACATTTTTACTGAGCACTGACTACTAACTTGCACAAGTTACTCAACTACTGAGTTTCCCTGTCTGTCCATACTTTAAAATATCAGTGTGCTATAGGGTTGTAAGGCACAATTCAATAATGTGCATAGAAATCCTCTGTACTGGGTTCTAATAACATGTGATTATCGTCACGACCATGACACTGTCATTAAAGTAACATAAATGATAGACTACTGATATTTTAAAATAACAGAGCAATCTCAGCCCTTCAATGAAAAATGTTTCACTCTAGTACAGAATCTAATGTCAGAGAAACCAATTCCTCTCTCCAAAGACTTGGTTATTGGTTATCAGGCAACCTAAGAATACTTTTCAATACAATCCTAAGGATTTGTGCTATATATAACCATACATTTATAAAAGTAGTTAGGATCATAACTGTAATTTTAAGAGATAAAAGGCAACAAAACTTACCTATTACTACCACAGGCAAAGTCACTGATGAATCTTCAAGTAAAGAAGTTTCTTCAACTAATGGCATAGCTTTAACTTTTTGCCCCAAATTATCACCAAAATATTGCACTAATGAATTAAAAATCTCTCCTTCAGTTTCAGTGTCACTGTAGTTTCTTTTAAAAGAAAAACATGGAACAAAAAACAACAGATATATAGTCAATATAGCCTTTATAAAAATCTGTCTCTACTCAGTTTTCATTTAGGCCACAAAATATGCAATAGTTTCATAAAAGGAGAAAAGGAAATCCTTCCGATTAATGCTTTCAAATTAGCTTAGCTACATGTCAATGTACACCACTTTGTCAGAAACCCTAAATACAGTGGTCCCTTGCTATCCAACAGGGGTTGGTTCCAGAACCCCACCCCCAACCCCTGAACACCAAAATCCATGGATCCTTAAGTCCCTTTTATAAAATGGCATATTATTTGCATGTATCTACCTACACCCATCCACAGAATCTCAACTGTCTCTAGATTAATTGTATCACCTAATACAATATAAATGCTATGTATGCAGTTGTCTTCATGCAGTAAATTCAAATTTTGCTTTTTGGAACTTCTTTCCCAAATATTTCCCATCTGCAGTTGGTTGAACCCATGGATGTAGAACCTATGGATATGGAGGGCTGACTGTAGCTGCTGTCTCTTTAATGACTTGAAGGCAAGTTTTAAAGAAGAAGCTATTTTTAATGACCAAAGACACAGGATGTATTAGGCATTTTTACATTCTCTGAGAGCTCCTAGGACTGGCAAGTGTCTCCTTCACTTTTCCCCTCATTAATAAAAAGGTGTGTGCATTAGAGGCAGAACCTAATGTGGGCTTTCCTGATAACTCAGACAGTAAAGAATCTACTTGCAATGTGGGAGACCCAGGTTTGATCCCTGGGTTGAGAAGATCTCCTAGAAAAGGGAATGGCAATCCACTCTAGTATTCTTGTCTGGAGAATTCCATGGATAAAGGAGCCTGGTGGACTATAGTCCAAGGGGTCACAAAGAATTGGATATGGCTGAACAACTAACACTTCCACTTTTCATGCAGAACAAGCTAGCTACATACAGTATTATAAGGAAAGGTTACTGAACTTACATATTACCAATTGTGTGTTTTGGCTAAAAAATAAGGTTTATACATCTTATTCTCAGAGATACTGAAAAGTGAAAAGATCTTAAATGTTGATTTCCAATCTACCTTCTTTCCCAACTGCCTCCCTAGAAACTACTTTTGGCATTCTGACACGTTCATGCAACAAATGGAGCATCCTCTGAGCACAGTTAATGTTCTGCATCATATAAGAGATTACTTCAAAATAGAATTCCTAAGTTATTCTTCATTTGTATATAGTCAGAAACAGGCCAATTACCTGAAAATATTAACCTGAGTACTGACTAGTGGGGGAGTGTGGTTATTACTATTCCCCAAATGACAAACATGGGAATCAATCAGTTATTTCACAAGACTCACTGATCCTAGGGGAGGAAGACAAATGGAAAGAATTAGGCAGAGAGCAATAATTTCTTCCTTCCTTTCCCAAACTACCCTCAGAAAGGGCAGAGTTCCCCAGGACACACTGACAGCTTTCCTTTCCCCAACAGCTGAACTTCCCTGTCCATATGCTGGCCCATTTTGGCCCGAGCAGATTTCATTTAATACGGCCACTCCTCACACTGCAAAGCTGCCCCTGGAAGAGGCAACTTAGGTCAACCACCCCTTTCAGACCACTTCATCTCTGGTCAGATCCAGATGCACTAGCTGTCTTGCCTTCTGCTTGACAACTTCTGGCTTGACGACTGAACTCAACATGAGTGAATTACACTTGGGCTTGTCCCTCATGCTTCTCCTAAATGTGTGTCAAGGACAGGCTCCTCAGCTTTCTTTGGAGGCTTCTTTTTTCTTAATATATATACTTTATTGAAGTATTCTTGACTTACAATATCTCTGGTGCAGTCATTCAGTTTACATATACACATAAATTATTTTTGAGATTATTTTTTATTATAGATTTTATTATAGGTTGTTACAAGATATTCACTATAGTTCCCTGTGCTATACAGTTAACCTTTGGGGCTTTTTGCATACCTATTTCTTTAAAATTAGAACTCTAGCATTCTATTCACTCTAAGTCAAACAAGTGGAATCAAAACATCATAAATTTTTCAGTTAGGCAAAAATTCATGTTTTTAAAAATATATGTATTACATACTATTTAAAAGATTTTCTACTATGCTTGATAAAGGTTTGAGAAAGAACATCAAAAAAAAAGAAGAGATGGAATGAAGAAACTGGAAAACAAACTAAATGAAATCATGGGAGAACTGACTATGAAATACAAAAAGTGAAGCAAACTAGATAAAAGATCATCATATAGTCCAGTAATTTTTAAACAAACCTACTTATCAGAAACATATCTGGGGCTTTGGAGGAAAAAAAAAGCAATATCTGGGCATTTGTATTTTTCAAAAAATTCCAAGATAATTCTGATACACATTTGGATTTTAAAAAGTGATTACAGGTTTTCCCATTAAATGGTAGGTTTGATGATATAGAATTCTATCAATTTTCTGTTGACCAATCATGATATGATGTTATTGAGTAATAGTTACATAATCACAATAGTAAAAGATATCAATCAGTTTTCACAATCAATAGGGAGACAAAGAGTTGCAAAGACAAAATAGGAATATGATTAACATAACAATATAAAATAATTACATACAATTTGGGGGATCAAAGAAAAGATATACCAATCTGAATGGAGAGTTTCAAAGAATAACAAGGAGAGATAAGAAAGCCTTCTTAAGGGAACAATGCAAAGAAATAGACGAAAACAACAGAATGGGAAAGACTAGAGATCTCTTCAAGAAAATCAGGGCTACCAAGGGGACATTTCATGCAAAGATAGGAACAATAAAGGACAGAAATGGTATGAACCCGACAGAAGCAGAAGGTATTAAGAAGAGGTGGCAGGAATACACAGAAGAACTAAACAAAAAAGCTCTCAGTGACCACCACAAGCACGATAGTGTGGTCACTTACCTAGAGCCAGAAATCCTGGAGTGGGCAGTCAAGTGGGCCTTAGGAAGCATTACTACAACAAAGCTAGTGGAGGTGATGGAAATCCAGCTGAGCTATTTAAAATCCTAAAAGATGATGCTGTTAAAGTGCTGCACTCAATATGTCAGCAAACTTAAAAAATTCAGCAGTGGTCACAGGACTGGAAAAGGTCAGTTTTCATTCCAATCCCAAAGAAGGGCAATGCCAAAGAATGTTCAAACTACTGCACAATTGCACTCATTTCACATGTTAGAAAGGTAATGCTCAAAACCCTTCAAGCTAGGCTTCAACAGTATGTGAACCGAGAACTTTCAGATGTACAAGCTGGATTTAGAAAAGGCAGGGGAACCAGAGATCAAATTGCCAACAATCAAGGGATCGTAGAAAAAGCAAGTGAATTTCAGAACATCTACTTCTGTTTCATTGACTGTGCTAAAGCCTTTGACTGTGGATCACAACAAACTGTGGTAAATTTTTAAAGAAATGGGAATACCAAACCACCTTACTTGTCTCCTGAGAAATCTGTATGCAGGTCAAGAAGCAACAGTTAGAATTGGACATGGAACAACAAACCAGTTCAAAATAGGGAAAGGAGTACTTCAAGGCTGTCTATTGTCATCCTGCTTATTTAACTTACATGAAGAATACATCATGTGAAATGCTAGGCTGGATGAATCACAAGCTGGAATGAGGAGTGCTGGGAGAAATATCAATAACTTCAAATATGCAGATGACATCACCTCAATGGCAGAAATGAGGAGGAACTTAAGAGCATCTTGATGAAGGTGAAAGAGCAGAGTGAAAAAGCTGGCTTAAAACTCAACGTTCAAAAAATGAAGATCAGGGCACCTGGTCTTACCATTTCATGGCAAATAGATGAGGAAAAAATGGAAACACTGACAGAATTTATTTTCTTAGGTTCCAAAATCACTGTGGATGGTGACTGCAGCCATGAAATTCAAAGACATTTGCTGCTTGGAAGAAAAGCTATAACAAACCTAGACAGCATGTTAAAAAGCAGAAACATCATTTTGCCCACAAAGGTCTGTATAATCAAAGCTATGGTTTTCTTCCAGTAGTCATGTACAGATGTAAAAGCTGGACCATAAAGAAGGCTGAGCATCAAAGAACTGATGATTTTGAATTGTGTTGCTGGAGAAGACTTTTGAGAGTCCCCTGATCAAGGGATCAAGCAAGATCACACCAGTCAATCTAAAAGAAATGAACCCTGAATATTCATTGGATGGACTGATGCTGAAGCTCAAAATCCAATACTGTGGCCACCTGATGTCAAGAGCTGACTCACTGGAAAAGACCCTGATGCTGGGCAAGATTGAGGGCAGTGGGAAAAGGAGGTGGAAAAGGATTGAGATGGTTGGATGACATCATCAACTCAATGGACATGAGTTTGAACAAACTCCAGGAGATAGTGAAGGACAGGGAAGCTTGGTTTGCTGTATTCCATGGGGTTGCAAAGAGTTGGACACAACTCAGCGACTGAACTGAAATAGAAGGAACTTGGAAATAAATTTTTTAAAGACCATTCATGAAATATAATTCACAAATATCACGAATTTCACCCTTTTATTTATTTTTTGCCAAGTCATACAGCATGTGGCTTGTAGTTCCCTAACAGGGATGGAACTTGTGCCCTCTGTATTAAATGCACATTCTTAACCAATGGACCACCAGCAAAGTCCAAAATTCACTCTTTTAAAGTGTACAATTCAGGGTTCTAAGTGTAGTCACAAGGTTTTGCAACCATTACCAACAATTCCAAAGAAACTTTCCCATCCCAGAAGTATGCACTGCACTCTTTAGCACTCAGTCCTCACTCTCCTCCCCGCAGCCACTGGCAGCCGCTAATCTACTGCCTGACTGCACGTGCCTACGCCAGAAATTTCAAGCAAATGGAACCCCTCATCCATTATGTGACCTTTTATATCTGGGTTCTTCCATTTAGCATGGCTGCAAGGTTCACCCATGTTGTAGGATGTATTGGTACTTCATTCCTTTCTAGGCCTAAATAATATTCCACTGTTTAGATAGAACACATTTTGTTTATTCATTCATGAGCTGATGAGTATCTGGATGATTTCTACTTTTTAGCTATTACAAATATGCTATGAACATTTGTGTATAAATCTTTATATGAACATATGTTATTTCTCTCAGGTATGTTCTTAGAAGTGCATGCAATGGCTGGCCCCTATGTTTAACGTCTTGAAGAATCGGCAAAGTGTTTCCCAAGTGTGTAACATCTTATACTCCCACCAGTGATATGCAGGTTCCAACTTCTCCACATCCTCACCAGCATGTGATTTTTTGTGTTTTTTATTTTAGCTACCTTGGTAGCCATAAAGTAGCATGTCAGTGCAGTTTTGATTAGCATTTCTCAACGACAACTGATGTTAAGCATCTTTTCATGTGCATATTGGCCATTCTTTGTTCTTCAGAGAGTAATTCTAATCACTTGCCCACTGTCCAACTGGGCTGTTGTTTTTACTGTTGAGTTTTCAATACTGTTTTATTTATCCTGTACATATGATTTGTAAATATTTTCTCCCATTTCATGGGCTGTCTTTTCACTTCCTTTATATTGTCTTTTGAATCACAAATTTTAATTTTTGATCAAGTCTATTTTTTTGTTGTTGCTGCTGTACTTTTGGTGTCATATCTAAGAAAGGTCTGCCTAATCTAAGATCACAAACCTGTTCTCTTCTATGAGTTTTATAGTTTTGATTTTTAAATTTATGTCTTTCATCTATTTTGAGTTAATTTTTTCAAATGGTATGAGGCAGCAGTCCACTTCATTCTTCTGCATGTGGGTATTCATTTGCCCTGGCACCATTTGTTGAAGACACTGTTATTTCCATTTGTCTTGGGATCCCACAGAAGTCAATTTAACACAAATGATGGGAATTATTTCTGGACTCTCAGTTCTATTCTACTGATCTATGTTTACCTTTATGCCTACATCATACTATCTTGATTACTGCTTCTTTGTAGTAACTTGTGAAATTAGGAAGTAGAATCCTTCAACATTGTTCTTTTCTCAAGAATGTCTTGGCTATTCTGGGTTCCCTGCAATTCCATATGAGCTTTAGAGTCTTTCCATCAATTTCCAGGAAGAAAAAAAAAAGGTAGTTAGGAGTTTGACAGGATTACATTGAATTTGTATATAAATTCAAGGAATACTGTCATCTTAAGAACACTAAGCTTTTCAACCCATGAACATAGGATTCCTTATCATTTATTTAAGCCTTTCATTCTTCTCAGTGATGTTTTCTAACTTTCAGTGTACAAGTTTCACATTTCTTCTGCTAATTTCTAAATATTTCAATCTCTTTGATGTTAGTATAAACTGGATAGTCTTGTTAATTTCATTGTCAGATTGCTCACTGTTAACATATAGAAATATAACTGATTATTGTATGTTGATCTTGGATTCTGTAATATCACTGAATTCATTTATTAGGTCTAGTAGGTTTTATGTGTGTGTGCGTGGGCCTCAAGCAATTTGATATTAGCCTCTCCCAAGACTCAAGTAGCGTATGTGGAGCCAAAGTTTTAACTTCTCTTAATTCTCCACTGAGTACAGGTGATTTGTTCTGATTTTCTACCACTGGTAATAAGTTTAACCTTTGTGTACATAATCCATAATATTACACAATCCAAATATAACACAATCCAAACTATTTGTAATAAACTTTCATGGTGCTTAGTATATACTGGTTTAACACAGGCATGAGAAACTAAATCAAGAGATGAAATGAAAATAAGGTTCACTGAATTTACATAAAGCAACAGTGAAACAAAGGCCTATTAGTAGGTATACTTTGTAAAAAATTCAGAATCTAAACTACAAATTTAGTATTTCTGAACATATTTTACAGTATATGCATATCATATCACGGTCTAAGAACAGTGAAAATTTCCACTTTAGATATCCAACTTGCTGACTGTTCGTTCTGTTTAAAACAAATACTTGAGTAATAAAAATATCTACTTTTCCTTTACTCAGGGCAATAAATTATAAAATATAATTAAATTTTAGGAAACAGTAAAGAACAGCACTTTATCCACATGCAAAAATAGTTACCCTATTGGTAGGCATCAAATTAGATGACTATTTGAAATTTAAGATGGTTTTACATGCCTTCCATGTTTTGTTTTTGAAACAGTATGATCCAAAGTCTCAAAACAAATTAAAAGGATGGCACAGGTATAATGTTTGAATAACAAAAGATTCTCACATCTAGCAATACTCTTCTAAATGATCATTCAAACTAAAATGAAACACTTTACTACCTGAGTTTAATCTTTGGAAGCATAAGCTTAGATTGTTACCAAATTGATACTACCATAAGAAAAACTGCTAAGTGTTAGTCACTCAGTTGTGTCCAACTCTTTGCAACCCCACAAAATGTAGCTCACCAAGCTCCTCTGTTCAGAATTCTCCAGGCAAAAATACTAGAGTGGGTAGCCATTCCTTTTTCAAGGGCATCTTTCCCAACCGGGATCAAACCCAGAGTCTCCTGCATCGCAGGGAGAATCTTTACCATCTGAGCCACTAGAGAAGCCCAAAAGAAGGTTCTAAAGTCACAAATGCAGCTACTCTTTATCTTCCAGAACAGTAAGTACGGGAAGTTTTCTTACTCCGAAAGTTAGGAGACAACTTTCTCACAGTCCTTATCCTTTCAGATAAAAGACCAGATCCAAAATGTAAACGTTATCACAATTGGTTTTAAAATGCATTCCTAATGAAACTGCTCCCTGCAAAAAAAAGTAAATTATAAACCTTTTAAGAAAATGTTTTAAATATTAAATATTTTCTTTTAAAAAATTTTATATAAGAGAGCTGTTTATGCAATAAAAATATGGCTTATCAACCACAATTTTTATCCTTTGGCTAGCAGGCTTGTTTTCTTTTATCTCTCAAGATCAAACTACAGCAAATACCTTGTTTTCATCTCCTCCTCCAAATTTCCGTACAAACAGGTAAGCATATGATATCCACTACCTAGAGTTAGTTGAATGGCTATGAATCCCACGCCATGTCCTTAGAATTCAGCTGTATTAAAAGGTGTCAAAAGGTTTTTGGACAGTGCCTTCTAAAGGGCATATTATTTTCTCAAGCGCTTCAGTCTAACAAGTTTTCACTAGGAGAACTTGTTTTCTAGAGTTCTCCAAAGGGTATCTGATACTCTCAAATCACTGTCAGGTAGGTAACAAATTTGCCTAGCATTTAAAATTCAGCAGTTTATTACATAAAATAATTTCTAATATCCAGAATTTAGAGACTCCTACAAAACTCACTGAGAAGGTGGGCAAACCTGGATTACCGCGCTATTACAACAGGAATTTTGAGTTTTCTCTGTGCCTAACACCCAACTTTTCCAATTTGGTGAAGCCTCTGGACCTCTTCTTTGAATATTATTAAACACATAATAAGATTTTCAAGGAAACTAAAAAGTAAACTTGGAACATGTCTTTATGTACTCCTCCACTATATTAAATAACCAGTATAATCTTGAAGAAATAAACAGTATTTCTAGGTATCTGCAACAACCAGTGTGGCATGAAAACATCTGCGATTTATACTGATGACCAAGTCACAAATACTACTGTGACTTACTGCTTATGTTCACAATTGAAGAACACAGGTTTTGGTTAAAGTTGAGTGAAAATGGCTAGTACCATTCTTTACATCCAAGTTCATCATCCATTAAAGTCTATATATGCACCCCAATTAACTCGATCAGAATCTCATATTTTACAAAAGAAGTTTTGCTTATCATCATCCTAGCACATTTGCAGTATATATAAAGCACAGCATTTTATGAAAGTCTTCATTAAGTTTAACTTGTCTTCACGACAAGGTTAAAACTAGTTTCAAGTTGTTTTTGGTCTTTCTGTAACTCAATGAGACGCTGGCCAATTGGGCTAGACCTCGTGCATTCACTTTCATTTTAAAACGTATCATCTGTATCAACCCTAAAAAGGGTCCCCATAATGTAGGTCAAGAGTCGTTTCACATGTTTCAAATTTCTACGATATGCCCGGCTTACAAGGACTAATGTCTTAAAAGTCAGAAACCTATTTGTACCCAGAGCATCACATTTTAAACATAAGTCCCTGCCTTCCTTCAACCCAATAACTTAGGTTATCAGAATGCTTTTACAGTAAAAAAAAAAAAAAAAATGTTTAAGATGTCGGGGGCGGGCGGTACCTCAGAAGCCTTCACTAAAACTTTGCTCTCTCGTTAAGTCTCGGTTCGCAGAGGCCGCCCGGCTCGGGGCCGCGCCGTCCTGTGACCCGCACGGCCCAGGGCGAGGAGGAGGGGACGCCGGAGCGGCCTGAGGAGCCGAGGCGGGAGCCGCGGCCGAGCGGGGCGGCCTCGGCGTCCCCCTCTGAGTCGTCCCGGTTCCCCGCCCGCGCGGCCCGGCCCGGCAGCTCCCCGCCCGCCCCCGCCCGAGAAGTCACCTGAAATGAGCGGCCAGGGAACAGCGGCAGCACCACACGGGCATGGGTGGCGGCGCCCCGGGCGCCCGAGCGCGGCCGCCTCCCGCGGCGGAGTGGCCAGGTCGGGGCGCCCGCCGTGTCGCGGAGGTCCTCGGGGCGCCCCGCACCTCGCCGTGGTCGCGGCCGCCTGAAGCTGCGGCGCGGCGGCGGCGGCCGAGCTCTGAGGCGGCCGGGCTCTGAGCGGCGGCGGCCCGGGGCCCGCCTCAGGGGAGCCGCTTCCGCTCCCGGCCCGCGGCCGGCCGAGGTCTCGGGGCGCCGCTGTGGGGGGCGGGACGCGGGGGCGGGCGCGCGGAGACGGCGGCGGAGGCCGGCGGGCTCCTCCTCGCAGGTGCGGCGGCGGCTGAGGCCCGCGATTGGCGCAGCCGCGCCCGGGGCCGGCCGGGGGCCGGGCCTGACGACGCGCTGGGGCGGCTGGGGCTGCGCTGAGGCCCGGGCCCCGCGGCCGCCCTTCTGGCGTCCGGCCGGCTGGGCGGGCGCGGCTGTGAGGGGGCGGCCGGCGCCGGTTACCGGGGAAGAGCGGACGCTGCTCGCCCCGGAGGCCGGCCGGTCCGCGGGAACCCGGCAGGCCTCGCGGCCTCTGAGGCCGGCGGGTCGCGGCGTCTGCAGTCAGGCCGCGCCGTCTTCTCGACGAGGGCGCCCGGGGACACCGCGACTCCCGCTCCACGAAAACTGCTTATTTATTTATTTATTTATTTTAAGCGCTTTCCCTCGCGCCGGGCCCGGGCCCAGCCACCCGGAGCTGCCGCGCGCGCGCTTTCCGCTGTGGACCCGGCCTCACGGTGGCCTGGGAGAGCTCGGGGAACGGCGGTGGCCCGGGCCCCGGGTTCTGGTGGGGGACGTCGGGCGTCCCCGCCGAGGTCCCCCTTCCTTAAGTAAGTGGTGATGCTGCTAAAAAATCCGGGTGCCCTGGCCCAGATTCAGGGACTCGGTGTGTTTTATTTCAGTCCCTCCGAGTGATTATAATGCAGGAAATTGTTAAGAGAGGTACCGAGTAATGAGTGTCCCGCATCCGGTATTTTCAAGAAATGTAGAGGGGAGGAAACCTGGGCAGAGTGCTTGATTGCATATACTGTTCCACGGGAGATGTCTTTCGATCCCTCCTTCCAAAACGTGCTGAATGTTTTTGCAGTGAAAATCTCTGATGCAGAAGTTTCTGCTTTTAAATACTTTAAGTTCTCAATTTTTGCTGAATGTCGTCATGAACAAACCTGGACTTAGCAGGTATTTTAGAGTCTGTGGCGCTTAAAAGGAAATTTTAGGACTCAGCCTCCCTCCAGGATTATATAATCAAAGATAATATATAAATATATATATATTCATTTTACTCTGTTTATTTTTACTTTAGTGTTTCAGAAAGTGAAGAATAACTTTTCTGTTGACAGTCACTTTATCCTTTTAAAGAACTAAATTTGTAAAAGCTATGCCAATCCTGAGAGTTTAAATATGAAGGTTTATGAGTATTTTTTTATATTTTTTTCTTTTCATTATGCCTTTTTCACTTTGAGTTTTCTTGCAGTATCTTCAGGTGAAATAATAAAGTGGGCATATCAAATTTTAGCCTTAATCAGGCTTGTATTTAAACCTTGTTAACTTGCTATCATGGTTTACACTTGATAAGAGCTAATGATTAAACCAGGTCACAATAATTACATAGAAGATTTTTCTTATAGCAAATAGGGCACATCAGAGTTTTTTTTTTTAATTGTAGATGAGATACTATTTAAATATAAAATTCTAGTTTGATGAGGTTGTGGGGCAACAGACTCAGATACTGCTGGTGAGAGTATAAATTAGTATGTAACCCCAAACTCCCGTATCTTCATAGTAATCTCTGATCCTCCTCCAGCAGGTGTAGTCACACATTTAGGGTGGAACTCATCTCACACCAGCATCCATTGCAGTCAGTGGTACCTTCTGGGCTTGCTCAACCCTCCTTATTGGTATATAATATACCAGCATTTTGTACATTAAGTTATGGACTCTGTCTGCCAAGCAGGAGACGCATGTTTGATCCCTGGGTCAGGAAAAGCCCCTAGAGAAGAAAATGGCAACCCGCTTCAGTATTCTTGCCTGGAAAATCCCAAGGACAGAGGAGCCTAGCAAGCTATTGTCAGTGGGTTTGCCAAGTGTTGGATACAATTTAGTCACTAAACAGCAACATGGATTAGATTACAGTATAATAGTTAACAGGAGTGTGTGTATTGGAATCTTCACTGTGCTGGCAGTGTGATCTTGGGCAAGTTCCTTAGCATCTCTGGGCTTTGGTTCCGCATCTGTAAAATGAGATAATACTTAGTTCATTGGTTGTAAGAATTAAATTCACAAATACTTAATAAGGCACTTCCCACAGGGCCTGGCGCATGTTAATCACTGAGGAAATGTTCTTTTTCATTATTATAAAAAATATGTTCATATTTTCTAAAATCAAAATTCCAGGATGTATTTGCCCTAATATGACTGTCTGGAAATAGGGCCTGTAAAGAGGTAATTTAGGTTAAATGAGGTCCTGAATGTAGCACCCATATCCAGGTGCTGCTGCTGCTAAGTCGCTTCAGTCGTGTCCGACCCTGTGCAATCCCTTAGACAGCAGCCCACCAGGCTTCCCCGTCCCTGGGATTCTCCAGGCAAGACCACTGGAGTGGGTTGCCATTTCCTTCTTCCAATGCATGAAAGTGAAGTCGCTCAGTCCTGTCCAACTCTTTGCGACCCCATGGACTGCAGCCTACCAGGCTCCTCCATCCGTGGGATTTTCCAGGCAAGAGTAATGGAGTGGGTTGCCATTGCCTTCTCCAATCCAGATAGGTTTAAACCTTAGAAGAGGAGCTCTTGTTCTGCCAGATGAGGACACAGGAGAGGGGGGCAAGCCAGCAAGAGAGGTCTCAGCAGGAACCAAATCAGTAGGCTTCTTGGTCTCAGACCTTTCAGCCTCCAGAACTGCGAGATAAGAAATATCTGTTGTTTCAGGCACCCACAGTATGGCATTTTGTTATGGAGCCTGAGCTGACAGAGATGGTATGTTTTCACATTTTCTAGAAGCAAACAAGAAAATTGAATAGAAATTATTCAAAATAAACTGTTGCATTTCATATACTAGGTAAACCTGTCAGTTGTTGTTATTTAACTTATATGCAGAGTACATCATGAGAAATGCTGGGCTGGAGGAAGCACAAGCTGGAATCAAGATTGCTGGGAGAAATATCAATAACCTCACATATGCAAATGACAGCACCCTTATGGCAGAAAGTGAAGAAGGACTAAAGAGCCTCTTGATGAAAGTCAAAGAGGAGAGTGAAAAAGTTGGCTTAAAGCTCAACATTCAGAAAACTAAGATCATCACATCGGTCCCATCACTTCATGGCAAATAGATAGGGAAACAGTGGAAAGAGTGGCTGACTTTATTTTTCTGGGCTCCAAAATCACTGCAGATGGTGATTGCAGCCATGAAATTAAAAGACGCTTACTCCTTGGAAGGAAAGTTATGACCAACCTAGACAGCATATTAAAAAGCAGAGACATTACTTTGCCAACACAGGTCCATCTAGTCAAGGCTATGGTTTTTCCAGTGGTCATGTATGGATGTGAGAGTTGGACTATAAAGAAAGCTGAGCACCTAAGAATTGATGCTTTTGAACTGTGGTGTTGGAGAAGACTCTTGAGAGTCCCTTGGACTGCAGTGATATCCAACCAGTCCATCCAAAAGGAGATCAGTCCTGGGTGTTCATTGGAAGGACTGATGTTGAAGCTAAAACTCCAATACGTTGGCCACCTGATATGAAGAGTTGACTCATCTGAAAAGACCTTGTTGCTGGGAAAGATTGAAGGCAGGAGGAGAAGGGGACGACAGAGGATGAGATGGTTGGATGGCATCACCGGCTCAAAGGACATGGGTTTGGGTGGACTCCAGGAGTTGGTGATGGACAGGGAGGCCTGGCATGCTGTGGTTCATGGGGTGGCAGAGTAGGACATGACTGAGCGATTGAACTGAACTGAGTCACCAAGTTGTGTCTGACTCTTTGCAACCCCATGGACTGCAGCACGACAGTCTTCCCTGTCCTTCACTATCTCTCAGAGTTTGCTAAGACTCATGTCCATTGAGTTGGTGATACCATCCGACCATCTCATCCTGTCGCCCTCTTCTCATCCTGCCCTCAATCTGTCAGAGCATCAGGGTCTTTTCCAGTGAGTCAGTTCTTTGCATCAGATGGCCAAAGTATTGGAGCTTCAGCTTCAGCATCAGTCCTTCTGAAAAATATCAGGGTTGATTTCCTTTAGGATGGACTGGTTTGATCTCCCTGCAATCCAGGGGACTCTCAAGAGTCCTCTCCAGCAACACAATTCAGAAGTATCAGTTCCTCAGCGCTCAGCTTCTTTATGGTCCAGCTTTCACACCTGTACGTGACTAGTAGAAAAACCGTAGCTTTGACTACACAGTCCTTTGCAAAGTGATGTCTCTGCTTTTTTAATATGCTGTCTAGGCTTGTCATAGCTTTCCTGTCAGTGGATCATATCATACACTTGGTAGTGTAACACTAAGAGGGGTCTAGAAACTATTCTAGAAAAACGGTTTCCCCTTTTCAGAAACTCTGGGAAGTTCAGATACCTTTCAGATCTCTTTATCCTCAAGCCCACTGATAGTTTTTAGTACAGAGAATACCTCTGTTTAGCTGTCAGTTTGGAATTCTCATCAACTCCATTCTCTATCTGGCCTTCCCTGGTGGCTCAGCTGGTAAAGAATCCGCCTTCAGTGTGGGAGACCTGGCTTCAGTCCCTGGGTTGGAAAGATCCCCTGGAGAAGGGAAAGGCTACCCACTCCAGTGTTCTGGCCTAGAGAATTCCATGGACTATACAGTCCATGGAGTCACAAAGAGTTGAACATGACTGACCGACTTTCACCATTCTCTATCTAGATGGCAGGTTTTTTTAACATGCTTCCCTGACTACATGGAAAATTGGGGACTTACTGATGCTGACGACTTAAGATGAAGTTTGTTCCTGCAGTTTGAAC